CATGATATAAAAGTGTCACTGCCACTACTTTTGGATACCCCTAAGTAAATGGCTGCACCACGTGCTGGTGGTCGTTTGAGTTGAGAATGACGTCGTAGCAAAAAGTATGAACAATCGAACGTTTAGCGGATGATTTGATGAAGAAAGAGTGTTTTTCCGTCTTTTTGAGTCCCGCTTCTGTTTTTATACGGACACGCACGCCGAGGTATGTGCTGTTGAGGTGTAGAAAGAACCGCGAACAAGAACGATGAGTAACCGATTCCGGCTATTGAAGTGTAGTCGTTTGGATAGCTTTTCTGATGAGGTTCCTATATGGGCTCTGAGTAAGGATCCTGCCCCATTTTCGTATATATTTAAAGAAGTGTTCTAGCATATGACCGATTTAAAAGGAAACCGCAATGCCTGAGCGTTTTTTTTTTAACGCAAAGCGTTCCATTAGAGAATATCCCGAAACCCAAGCATTCACTAGAATACGATTCTGCCTTTACATGAAAAGATCATTAATGGTCTTTTCACATCTGCTTTCATAGTTTTCCACCTCGCAGAAAGTTCTTGGAAAAAGTCTGTGGAACCTAGAAAACGACCTTTTTTCAAGCTTTTGCGCGCTAGCAAATCTCACAAGAAAAGTCTTCACAGCACTCAAACAGAATGTTTCGTACCTATTCGCAATCTTCAGAAGAACTCCAAAGAAGTCTCGCAAGGTGCCAGACTGCTTCCCGTCGAGTCTTTTTCAACTGTTTCGCACTATTATAAGGAGTTCTCTTCGGGCCAAAAACCTCTCAAAAAATTTTCGAAACGTCTTTTTCTCTGGGCCCTCAAAAGTCTCAATGAGTCTCAATAAGTCTCAGAACGGTGAATACGGCCGTACACGATCGCCGTATACGACACGGTGAAATACGGTCGGAATACGGTCCCGGGAAATACGGCGGGTTTAGGACCGTAAATCCGCCGTATACGGCCGTTTCTGGTCACCGTAATGCTCGACCTGGGTAGTAATAGTACCACATACTCTCTCAATTAGTTTAAATTTCCTTCATCTTAAAACTTTGGTTTTATTCAATTTGTTTTTATTATTTGAAAATGAAACAGCTTGAAGATATTCGCTTGAAGTAGAGAGAAACAATTTCCTTTTTATCAATTCAAATATGACTAAATTTTGTACTTTGAGTTGATTTAATCATATAAAATCGTTAGATATGTTTTATCGGATGCAGACACAATAAAATTACAAGATTAGAACCAGTGTAATACACTGAACAAAGAGTATAAATCATTTGAAAGATGTATTGCCCTATCCTGAAGAAAAATTTTTAAAAATAGATTTCTCAGAAATACTCTTTGCTTTTTCCACTTTCTACTGAACAATCTATTTATTATATTCTTTCCTTTATCTTGTACCTTGTGTTTCATCAGTATATGTTCAGATATAAATATCTGACATCTAGAAAAAAGAATGCATCTAACACTATGTTTAGACGGCGAGTCTATTCACGATTAAACTTGTGCTTAATTAGAAGTTGTGCATGCACACATATAAACGTTCTTTTTCATGAATCATGATTAGCAGTGTATGCATGCACAAATTGTTCCGTCTAAACGTATATGCATGCATAATCCAGTAATCATGCATTCGATTGACGTATAAAAGGAAGGACTGCGTAGTATATTGATCATTCTAATAAAAAATATGCATCCTCTTGCTGTCTATTCATTTATGAAGCAGTACAAGTCAATTGTCTCACGAAAGTACAAACGATCAAAACATCGATCGTTTGATATTTTGTTATTTTTACGATGTTTGAATTCGATTACTCGACAAGAACGCTCAATTTGGAAATATCCGAGAAGTTCAACATTTTTCGAATGTGACATGCCATTATTCAATGAAGATGTTTTCCGTGAAATTGACTTGTTACTGGAGAAGCTCCTGTTCGATGTTTGTTGTCTTTTACTCGAACATAGGTTTGACGGATGGATCGATGTCGATTCTTGATCTGTTCGTTTGTTCGGTTACATCCTTTTTCGTTCAGTCGATTTTGAATCGTTCTCCAGCCTTCTCGATTTCGATGACCATTCAATTGGTTTGCAATTGACTCTTTCTTCAGCAAACTGAGTAGCAGATGCGTTTTCGAATCTGACTAAACAGTTCGTTTATTGCCAATAATAGTCGTGTTATTGTTGCTAGTTATTTCGATGTTGTTCTTATCCAAAGACAATTCCATATTTAAAAAATAGAAAAAAATTTATTTAAATCTTTCAATTGAGATTATTTAAGGAGGTAGACGACAACAATTGTCTATAACAGCTAAAAATGGAATAAATGAGACAAAAATGTTCTTTTCACAGAACAATTGCTTTCAGAAAGCGAAAGTTGTTGTTAGAAACAAAAAACTCGAATTCAATCAGATCATGAGCCTTCGTTTTGATTACGTATATTATGAGAGACAAGTTTAGACGGCAATCATACACAAGCCGTTATTCATGATTAAGTGCGGATTTAGACGACGAGTTATGTATGCATACCAATGCATGATCGCCTTAATCATGCATAAGAGCCCATATAAACATAGGGTAAGCGCTCATAGAGGTTTCATAGTTATATATATGGCAAGATGTCTATCGAACTTAATTAGGTTAAAACAAAAAAAAAATGATTTGTTTATACAGTGCGAAGCACAAAATTTATGTAGTCCTTTGAGCGGTTTTTTCTTTTACTTTGTCGACGTACGGATGAAAACTTGTCCCTTTGTGACTGAACGATCTCGACGACGGAAAGTCATAAAGTGCTCTTGACACTCTAAGTGAAAGTATCGACATCAAACCATTATTTTTTTTTCAATTTTCCTTTCAAAGCATTTCGTTCGTCAGCAAATCGTTCCAAAAAAGACAAAATTTTCAAAACTTGTTTTTTTGTTTTGAGATAATTAAAAAAACGAAAAAGAAACAAAAGTTAGACGCCACTCTCTTAGCTCATCTGTCAAACAGCCGTAAGTGCAGCTGATCATAGATAATGAATCATTCCGATAAATAAATGATCAATCAACAGTATTTTTTCTTTAAGAAGAAAAAAACATCAGCATCCTCAGAAGATTGTTTCTAAGCTTTTCTAGCGTTTCTATAGTTATGAAGTTTCTTATGAGTTCTACAATTAATTATTAATGCGATGCGAAGCACGAATCTCGACATTGATTCGAAAATCGATTTTTTGTTTTTTATCAGATATCGTTTTTCCGAAATATCGAGATTCGTGCTTCGCACCGCATTTCGTATTCGACGTGTTTTGCTTTGACATTTTCTGTTTCGATCTTTTTCATACAGACCATTGTAACATTGCACAATTGATAAAAAAAATGAATATATCGTTTCAGCAAATTACAAAATCAAGAGGTAAAAATATTGTCATAAAAATTTTTTTTCTCGCTGAAAACTCCATATCATGTAGATTACATCTTATCTATTGGTTTTCCTCGTTCATTCTTATTTTTTATGGTTTTATTATTATTTCTACTTTTCATTTTTTATCGATGTCAGTTTTCATCTCTCGCATTTATCGTATCTACATGTAAAAATTCAAATAAAAGACAAAATTCTACTATTCAAACAAACACATCATCTGAGTTAACTAAAATTTTTGTTGTATCACATTTTAAGGAAAACTTAGATTGGCTTGATTTGTTGATGATAAAATTCCATATATTATTTATACACGATCAGATAAGCCATTAGTACATCATCATCATCAGATTAGAATCAATAGAAGCAGAGATCCTGTAGCTTATCTTCGATATATAATTGATCATTATTCAAATTTACCATCATCAATAGCTTTTGTTCATGGACATCGAACATCTTGGCATCAAAGAGATCCGTCAGATATTGTTACTGCATTACGAGCATTACAATGCCATAAATATAATTATATGCCATTAACTAATAAAAAGACTGAGCATGAATTTAAACAGAATTCAAGAAATCGTCAAGATAGAGTTAATTATAATTTATGGAAAGCGGTTTTACAAAAAGAACTTAGGCCTGCACCAGCAAATGGAATACGAACACATTGTTATGTAACATTTGCTATTAAAAGAGAAGCTTTTCTTACTCATCCAACAATAGTTTATTCAAATATTCTTGATTATCTTCTGACTACTAGTTATTCAGATTATTATACAAGTAGAACACTTGAATATGCTTGACATATCATGTTTGGTGAACCAATACATATTAATTATACAACATGTGATATATTTTTGTGTGATTCTAGTGGGAATATTTCTGTTCCATTGGCTAAAAACAAAAAAAATGAATAATTATTTCGGACAATCCAAAAATAATGACAGAGATACTTTACTTTCGCGTAGAAACCTTGAAGAAATTTTCTTTTTTTATGTAGTGATAAAGAAAATGCTGCTCTAGTTTTCTGTGGTATTTAGTCATTATTCAACTAATATCATAAGAATAGAATTTCGATAAGGACTATTTTTGTTTAAAACTTGACTAGAGTGAGTGCAGATGTGGATGTGGGTGTAGGTGGTTACGCATGTGGTTGAACAGGACATCCACACGCAGCAAAATAATCTTTTAACACGGTGACTTTGTAATTAATTCAGTTTTATCTTGTTCGATTCTGTTTCGTAATAATATCTGGTATTCGACTATACCGCTTGATTACCTTATTTTTGATAGTTTTGATCAGTTTGCGGCAATTATAGAAAATCTCAGAAGTTTCTTATTTTTATATGGTTGGGTGGATCATGAACTACTTTCGAATCATATAGCTTTCATTTTGTTTGCTTTGCATCTTCCTCAAAAGTTTGATGAATTACAAGAACTGATCCGATGGAAGTTTTGCACGCTGATTTTCCCGTAGGACTTAATTCATTAATGATGAAAACTGCTTTGGATGGAAAATATCGAACAAACTTAAATGTGAAAAAAATATAACATAATACTGATTTGAAGTTGACAAGAAAATTGAAATTTAGTATTAAAATGATGGCTATTTTCGTATGTATAAAAAAACAAGTTTCTTTTTAGGAACAAAATATTTGATCAGTAAAACAGATTACATGATCAGTAAAAAAATAGATAAATGATCAGTAAAAAAAATAGATAAATGATCAGTATAAAAATTGAACGATCAGTCCTAAAAGTATCAGTAAATAATAATAGAATGATCAATATGTTATATATAATTACTAGTAAAAATATACAATTTATTCCAGTAACAAATACAAATTTGATCAGTACAATATAGAGATTTTACCAGTAGAAAAATACGTCTTAACCATATTAAATAGAAAGTTACCAGAAAAGAAATTTAAATAATTACAGAACAATCCAAAAGAATGTTTTATAGAAATCTAAAAAGTAAGTGAGAAAAGAGAAAATGAATATAAAAATGAAATTATTGGACTACCAAACTAGGCTTAGTCTTAGTTGGTCTATCTCTTTTTCGTTTCTCGCCAATGTGGACTCTTTTTGTGGCTGCTTCTCGTTTGCAATATATTAAACGAATAAGCATATTCTCCCACAACTTCATGGAATAAATCGCTTGCATATTATGCAACCTATACTATTTTCATCTTTTTCACTCATTAAAATTTAAGTGATGATGAGCGAGAGGATAAAAGTAAAGAGTGTATATGTTAATGTCCAATCTCAGATTCAGTCCAATCTTAGATCTACTTAGGTCAAGCTGAAGTCTCATTCTGGACCAGTGCAATACCAGGTTGGAAAAGCAGTTTTCGTTAAAGGTTTCACTAGTCGCTAGATAGATATTGCATTGGAATATATATTACTGAACTAGATTAAAACAATGGTATTCCGATAATGCGATCATCAATGAAGAAACCAAGTTTAAACACGAACACTTATGAATAATTTTCTATAACAGCTGATCTGCTATAGAAACTTATTCGCAAGTACTAGAATCCTAAATTAATTTTTCTATCGACAATTATATTATCTAAAATACCATTTTTTTCAATACAGTTCAGTAAGAAGTATTCCAAATTAATAACTATCCAGAGACAATTGGAACTTTTCACGAAAACCAGTTTTTCAATCCGACATTAGACTAGGCAAATTTGAGAATCTCATATTGGCTAGGGGCATTTGAGATTGGATTGAATACGAGATCGGACACTGATAGATATATATATATACGTTATACTTGTTATCTGTACGACACCGTCGAAGAACAGAAAAAAAAAGAAAAAAGTGAATCATACCACCACATATTTGAATTTCTATATTCATCTTTTTTATTTAATTTACTGTTAATTAATTATATTTACTGATTCTCAAATTTATTTACAAATCTTATTAATTAGTAACTGGTCGTCGAAGTACTTTACTGATCAATCATTCGATCTACTGATTTTATAATATTCTAACGTGCTGATTATTTCATCTATTTTATTGATCACTTAAATCCTAGCCTTTCTTTTTTTTTTTTTAATAATAGTTCACTTGCAGACTCCGACGTAAATGTGATCCAAATTATGCAATTATATAGATAAATAGAGAAATTAATGTTCTATTCAGCTTTGTATCACAGGACAAACGTTTAATTGTTTAAACAACTAAAATCTCTTAAAAGAATGCCGAACAATCTATGAAAATAACGTTCACGAATAAATGCCTTAGAAAATCATCGAGTCTATAGCAAACATAAGTGATAAATCCCATGAAAAGTATATAATGTAGTAGAGAAAACGAACGTTCTACTATTCTATATAAAAATAAAAAATGATTCAGTATTCAAGTAAATATTAACCATTGAAAAGATTACTGGATGGCTGTTCTGAAAAATTGCTAAGTAGAAATCTCTTTTTCACAACTGTTCGAAATTTACTAAATGTTTGGACTAGATGCAAAGTAAATAAAATGAAAACTATACAGTTAGATAGAGTAATTCATGCTCTAGCTAACTATATTAAAATAAGGAACTTTTTGAGGTTTGATATAAATACAGCCAACTGAGCAAAACTATCAAAAACAATGTAATCAAGCTTTATATTTTTGAATTACACTTTGTTTATTTGATTTTATGATTTTTACCCCTTTTCAGTAGAGATTGTATGAGATATACACAGAAAATTTCTTTGCATATATGTGTCGTGCCGAAGTTATAACTTCAACGGCAAATTTTGTCGAAATTAAAAATTCGATAGAAAGCTTTGTCGAAGTTATTAAAAAATATCTTAAAAACAAATAATAATCAATCGATTGATGATATTTTTAAACAGAATGTATAGTTATAGTCAATTTTTCATTTTAATAACATACATTTAAATGTGATAAGAATAAATACGTGTTGTAGAAACAATTCAAAAAACTAGAGAACTACATTGTGTAGAAATTTTAGATTTTTCGTTGGAGATTTAGGTGATATGATGTTCTCCAGTTGATGAAGTCGATTGTTAAAGTGCAATGTTCTAATTTGGGATGTAGATGTCGATATACGGGTGGAGCTGATGTGGGCTATGAGTGTCCTATTCAACGACATCCACACATGCTCACACCAAAATGTAGCCCGTGTTTTCCTCTATTCGTCCATATGAATTCTATTTTTTTCTGAATATTTCCACAGGAAAAATAATTTAATTTGAAAAATCATACGAAAAATTTTGTCGACCACTGTATATAATGAAACAATATCTCAGCTGTAATCATCAACAAGCATAAAAAATATCATTTCATTCGTGCATATTGCAATACAGAGCACATAATTTCAAATCAATCTACAGTGGAAAAAATACGAAAATTTTAAAGATATTGAAAGAAAAAAACAAACTCTAATTATGTCCCATCTAATACACATTTTCATCTTGGTTATTTTATATGTGTCGATACATAGTTGATGAAGTGAAAATATAAAATTCTAATAATGTAGATTGATAATAATTATATTTTTGCTGTAACCCTAATTGCAAACCAAAATTCAACCAAGTCTATGAATCTAATGATCATCGACAGCAAAGACAGTAGTTTGACTCGTTCAGAAAATAATTGTATTTAACATATATCCTTGACATTTATTTAAAACTTTGTTTTTCTTGTTAATTTCTAACGAAATTTAGTATATATCAAGTTTGTATTCAATAAAAACTTTCATTAATCAATTTTCTTCATTCGTCTTCATTAAATTTATTGATATATTCATGATATTTTCTTTTAATGCATATGCATTTAAATTAAACATGTTTCACATATGGATTTGAAATGTAAATAAGGTTAAAAAACATGAAGGTCATTTTCAAATATTTTCAATGTTGCTGGGAAATAAAAAAAAAAGTAAAGAAAAAAAGAAACGAATGACGAAGTCTGTTAGTACAACCAATTCTCCGCATCATTGTTGTTATTTGACCCACAAAACAAAGTTGTTTTTTTTTTGAAAAACGAAAAAAAAAAGAAATCAGCAGAACGAAATGAAATAGAGAAAAAAAAAACTTTATTTCTTGTTAATGTTAATCTGATTAAACAAAAAAGTACAATCATGTCTGATAAAACATGTCGTTATAACAACACACATGGAGCTTTTAATCGACGAGAAATAAGGTACATGAAAAATTTCTTGTTATTTTTACGAAGTTTTTTTGATATTCATATAGGATGTTGGCTCAAGCATTAGGAGTGAGTTAAATTTATGTTTAAGAATTATTTCAATACGAAGATGGTTTTGTAGCTACCAGAAGAACGTATTGATAAAAGATTAAATACACTTGAAATTGGAGAAACAATTCAAATTCCAGTAAGATTTATTAAATAACGGATACTGCAAAGTTTCGTGGACAAATGTTAGACTCAACTATACTTCAACAGAAAGTAATAGGAAACTTGTTCTTTATTCTTTTCTGTTAGATAGAATGTGATCTGTAGTTTAAAATGAAATATTTCGCTAACTGCTAATCAAAAAAACGTGAAAACACACTGTGAATTTCTTCGGCTAAACTTTTACTTTGTCGAAAAAAAAATCAATAGTTTAACAAAGACATAATTTTTTAGACTGACTCTTATGGATTATACAAAACATTTAATATCGATTCTTATTACGCACAAAAATCATCGTAAAGCTTGCCTATTATTATTTGTTTCTGATAGGATACTTTTTCTTTTGGAAAAGTTGAGTATCAATTGTTCGAAAACTATATCACTGACTATACCTGTGTTTCATTGGCAATTAGAACAAGATTGATTATGATAGAAAGCATTATTTCGCGACTACCAGAATATGTAGAAAAATTTGATTGAAATTTAAGTAAAATCCAGGTAAATATATAATCTAGACATCATTTTACTGTACAAACTGCATGCTCCTGTTGAGATATACAATTTGTTCACTACTAAAGATGTAAACTGATCGGATGAACTACCACTGCCACTGCAATATAAAAACAGATATTTGATTTTTGAAAATTTTCAACGTCTGAAATTACTTTTTCGAGATGTTCATGTCTAGTTTCTCGTCAATAAGTTCTCTACCATCGTTTTCTCTAGTTTTCATTTGAAAAGTTCTCGAAATTAAGAATATTTTCAAAAAAGGTTATCGAAAAATTTCAGCCATCTCCGCCAATCAATGCATCAGCGTGCATCTCTATTATTGACTAAAAATTTTTACAGTTCACTTTTTCATAATTTTGACAACATCCAAATCATTTAATTACTATTACATAAGCAGCTTTGTTTTAAAGAAGAGATCATGCTCTATTTAACAACAACAACAAAAAAAAGAATGACCTTCTTATACAATACAGTTACATCTAACACTTGTTCAAGAAATTTTGTAACACTCATTAATAATGATAGAAGTTGATTTTTTGCTTGTCTCAGGAATTATTAGATTTGATTGAAAAAGGCATATTTATTACTGATTTTAATTATATGTATAATAGCCAAAGTGGTCGATATAATAGTGTTGTTTTGTCTAAAGCTCTTCAATTAGTCGATTCACATTTATTTAGGTAGAATTTATTCATATTTATATTTAATTAATTATTTAATTGATTAGTTTTAATGATATATTAAAAGCTCGTCTTGCTTTTAACATATATGAAATGAATGTATCAAACAATGACAAAAGAAATTTCGAATTAATTTTAAGAACAATTAAAGTAATACGAAAAAAAAAAGAATAGAATTAATAAAAATTTCAAATCTCATGTGATTTATTTTAAATAGTTTTGTGATTATCATATAAGTGCTTTAAAACTTGAACGATGTTTATATCATTATCGTTTAAATAATTCAAGAATATTACACTTATGTGAATATTTTGATCTTTTATTAATTTGTAAACGTGATAATAACAATTCACAATCATTTTCAAGAAAAGTATAAATCGAATTTTTATTAAACTACTTTATTTTGTTCTTGCTTTCTATTATAGATTATTGATTTATCTGATCCAAAACCTATTGATCAACAAATGATGGATGAATTAAATACAAAATATTTACGTGATGAACGTAATTGGTTTTTACAAGAAAGTTTTTCTAAACAAAAAATTATCGAAAATTCAATATGGCCAGCAAAACTTGCTCATCAACATCAGGTGAAAGAAAACTACGAAAATCTAATTATTTCTATTCAAAAAATTATTTATTTTAAAAGGCTAATATAGCTTCCATACGAAAAGCTCAACTTCAAAGACAATTATCAGCAAGTATATCATCATTAAAACAATCACGAGCTGGAAGTGCTTGTTCCTCACGATCACATTTATTATCTTCAAGTAAACTGACATTACTTTTATAGAGAAGATAATAAATATATAAATTTGAAACAGGTCTTCGTCAATCTCGTCCTGTATCACATTGTTCATTTACATCTTTAACACCAATAATTATTCGAAGTAGCCTTAGTTGTAGTGCACAATCAAATCGAACAATAATATCCGAAAATGAAACAAAACCAAATGAAATAGAACCAGAAGAACCAAAACCAGATGAAATAAAACCAAGTGAAACAAAATCAAATGAAATAAAACTAGATGAAATTTCGAATCGTATACAACAATTACAATCTGAATCAGCATTTTTAGTAAATAAATTTTCTATAAAAGTTTTCATAGTTTTTTTTTTATTGATTAGACAATTAAATATGCTTTATATCGAGAAGATTACATGAATGAACTTTTACCAAATGGTTATTCTAAATCAATAATAATTTCTAGTATGTTTTCATTTAGTTAAAATAATCAAAACACTAAATTTTCTTTTCCTATGTTACAGAACCTATTGGACGTCAACTTAAAAAACCTAAATCATTAGTTCATTGGTCACGTCGAGCTACTACACATAATACTATAATATAGATTTGTCCATTTTTTGTATTAACTTATGTTTAAAACATACACACGAATTCAATGGCTTCAACAACGCAAAAAGAAAAACTAACATAAAACACTAGACTGATATACTGCCTTGACGAAAATTTGTTTTTCCAATAAGACAATTAATAAGAACACTTTTTCGGTGTTTTTGATTGATTTCATTAGCTTGTTTAAATATATTGATCATTTCAGTTTCATTTGTTTGATCAAGTCGAAAACCAATACCACCCAAAGATTCGACTATTTTGTCATAATTTGAAAACTATTTAGAAAAAAACAGATACAAAAGAATATATATGTATAGACTCATAATCAAAATAAAAAAACTTATAATATCTTTTTAATCTACAGACATCCATTCATGAAGACATAAAAAAAGCAGAACAATTAAAAAGTACATTCCCGAAATTCAAAACCTCGCTTAATACTGCAAACAACACGTTTCTAATTGGTAAAAATCTATTTTTTTACAGGAACGAATTCGATTCTCATTTTTGAATACTCTCAAATTAGAAATTTCACATTGTTTATTGTCAAAATATCGTTTTTTGGTCACAGCACATGACTTTATTATAATAGAAATAAATATGATATTAACTTGATAATGTCCTAGTGTTAGTTAATGAAGGCGTCTTGTTAAAAAAAAAAGGGAAGAGAGTAGTCGCTATGATTATGGTAGTTTAGTTTTTCTTTCACATTGTTTTTCAAAAATAAACAGAGTAACTGATGATCGGAAAGTTTTGAGATAAGATGTTTGTTCAATTTCGACACGATAAAAAGTATTTCCAGCAAGTTAAAAACTATGAATTAGGATGCACTTTTCGAATATAGGTTTAGAAATGTTTCGTCTATTTTTGTTCATTGGTAGTAGGAGACTTTTCGAAAGACTTGAAAAATTATTTTTAATGGTGTACCAACCGGTTTTTGTTTACCTTATAAGTCCTTTTTCGAATATGCTAAAAATTGTCGGAATTAATCGCTTTGTAGAGCGGACATTTCTCTGCAAAATGTGATATTGAACTAAGTTGTAGGTTTTACGCACGTATTTTTTTTTAAGAATGTCTTTCAATGTAAAACGATTCTCGATTTTTCAAAAATAAGTATCTAGGAAAAACGAAAATTGAGGTACCTTGTCGAAAAGTATTTTGCAGGATAGTTTCTGATCTATAGGCTGATGTCTAAATAAAGATCCCAGCTTTTACTTTCGGATCGCAATAATGAAAATACAAAAATGTGCGGAAAATTTTTCTCTTCAAAATAATTTTCTGAGCTTTTCAAAGATTATTTCACTGAGACAAAATTTCTAAGTCTACATTTCAAATAAAAACATCCTAACTCGTAGTTTTTGAGTTGTCAGAAATACTTTCTAGCAGATCAAAAGTGAACAAATATCTTGTCCAAAAAAAACTTTTCGATTATTCGTAATAAATTGAAGTTAACACTAGAAATACATGTCAACTAATTTCGTTTTCTTTTATTCTTATTCTTTTATATATATAGATAATCTAACCTCTAATGAACATCCAACAATACTGCCTAATAATGGAACTTGATCACGAGCAATTTGACTCCAACAAGCATCATTACCCACAATTGATATAATTGGTATCTTAAAAATAAAAATGAAAATAAACATTATCAATTATAAATCAATTAGAATTTTCAATATATACTTTATGTCGAATAAATGTATCATATTCCATAATACTATAACCAAGAGCACCATCACCATAAATAATCCAAATACTTGCTTCAGGTCGAACTAATTTTGCACCTAAAGCAAATCCTGCACCAACACCTAACGTACCAAAAGCACCAGGATCTAACCAAGTTAATGGTGCTCGTGGACGAAGTACATAAGCAGCTGTAGCTACAAAATCTCCACCATCACCAACTAAAATAGCATCATCTGGTAATTGATTTTCTAATTCTTGTAAAACATGTACTGGATTTAAATGATATTCTGTTCGTTCTAATCCCATTTTTCTAAAAATTTAAAAAAAAAAAAATTCTCTTTGAAATGCAAAGAAAAATATTTATTATTACCGATTGATTTCTTCTTTAATATTATCTTTACTACGAAGAGTTTCAATCCATGAATCAGAACATTTATAATTTTTTTCTAATAAATTTTTATTTAATCGTACAATAAAATTAGCTGGATCACCTTTAATAGCTAATGTTGGTTTCCAAAAGACATCACTATTCTATAAGAAAATATAAGAAAATTTCTTATTTGATATTCCTATATATTTTTATTTTTCTTACTTGATATAAACTAGAAGAATTTCGATTAACAATAATAATTTTCGATTTTCTTGAAAGAACTTTTCCATAACCAAGACGAAAATCACAAACAGTTCCTTAACAAAAAAAAATACATATTTTAATTAATAAAAAAAATTTCAACTTAAGGATGTCATCAATCAGACTGAAATTTTTACTACAGATAAAGCATCTAAAATAAGCAGTCATGTGTTCGAGGAAAAATGTTTGAAAGAGAGTTTTACGGAGAAACTCTACTTTTTCATAAGACTATATCCTGGTGTATTACGACGGCTACCCGATTTTGTTCGATTGCGTTGAAATTATGAGAAAAAGACAGAATGGTTTGAAGATAAAATTAGAGATTTCGCTTTTAGAACCCTATAAATCCGGATATGAAAGTCAAAAACGAAAGTGGCTAATTCTTCCAAGTATCTGTAGTAAAAATTTCAGCCCAATAGGTAGTACCTAATTCGAGAACCAAAAGTCATGAAAAAAAACGATGAGGAAGTGGTACTCATGAAATACCAACCTATTAAAAGAACCACATCAGCTTCTTTTAATGCATCTTTACGACAATGACGAAGTTGTATTGGACTATTTCTACCAAGTAAACCTCTTGCCATACCACCAAGAAAACATGGAATATTCATTGACTATAAAATAAATTAAAAAAAAAAAATCAAAAATATTATCTATAAAAATAAATTTACTTCAAGTGCTTCAACAATATCGCTTGTTGATGTTGGTGGAAGAGTAGTTTGACTACCTAATAAACAAACTGGATATTTTGCCTGTTGAACAAGTTGAGCAGCTTTTTGAACTTAAATATTCATGAAAAGATTAATGAAATATTTCAATAGAATTAATTATTACTCGAATGATTTAATGCATAAGATATTTGTGGTGGTATTGGTGTAAGTATTTGTTCATCAAAAGCACCAGCAAATGTTCCACGTGTATATGTTGATAAATATCTAAAATAAAATAAATTCATCGTCTTAATTAAATATTTCATTTGTTTCTTTTTTTTTCTACGAACAAATTTGCTAATTTATCAGCTAATGTTTTTGGATTTGGTTTTATTCCAACTTCATTTTGAACTAAATAAAATGGATATAAAACATCAATTGGAAATTCCACAAATACTGGTCCTAAAAATAAATCTTTAATTTATTTTAGTTTATATTATTAAATTTTATTTACCTGGTGTTCCTGATTGTGCAATAAAAATAGCTTTTCGAAGTAGATTTGGAATTTGACGAACACGTTGAACACTAATTGTATATTTACATATTGAACTAAATAAAGACATATGATCAATATCTTGTAATGCACCACGTCCTTTAGATAAATTTGCTGCACAACCACCAATTAATAATAATGGACTTTCAGCCATTTGAGCATTTTTTATTGCTGTTACAGTATTTGTTAAACCTTTAAAGAAAAAACCCAACAACAATAAATAACATTGATTATTTAGTTTTGTTTTGAAAAGCAAAAAAATCTATTTACCAGGTCCAGCAGTAACAACACAAACACCAATCTTACCACTTAAACGAGAAACCGCATCAGCTTAATAAAGAACAAAAAAAAAACATTCGTTTATTTATTGATCTTTTTTTCTAATCTTCTATGTAGAAAAATTTTACCAGCAAATGCAGCATTTGCTTCATGACGAGTATCAATTACACGTATACCATGTTTTTCACAAGCAACTAAAATTGGTGATATATGACCGCCAGATAAACAAAATATATAAGGAATGCCATGAGCCTAAAAATAAAGGAAAAAAAAAATTTTTTTATTATTACAATGAATTCATATTAATCACATACCTACTTTAAGAACATCAGCGACAAGTTCACCACCATATGCTGTTGAGTCTTCATCAACCTAAAATAAATTACTGAATGAATATTCTATTTTTTTTAAATATATATTCGAAACCTTGTATATGAGTGTATATATCCATCGAGTTTTATAAGCAATATAAAGAACTAATATCAATGAAATCAAAATAACTAGTAGAAAGACAATCATTTTTCTATAATATGTCAATGTACAATATAATATAAGAGTGATGAAACAAACAAAAAAAATGTGTCTTTTTATTTTTAAATAATTATTGTGTCCTTTATGAGTCAATATTTTAATGATTCATATAGATTTGATCGTTACGAACAGTATGAGTAACCATTCAAAAAAAAAGAATGTATGTTGTATGGTCGTCAAGTTCTGTCATCTGTTGATGTCAAATAAGGTGTTTCTCTTTACTCTTTATAATAATAATAGCAACATGCGAAGAGTGCAAAAGCAAATGAAAAAAAAATTTTTTTACAATTTGAATGAAAATATTTCGAATAATGAAAATAATCGTTTTATATTGTATATATATATATTCCTATTCTTAATATTAAACTATCCATTTATATCACATGATGATATCTTATTATTATATAAAATGATTGTTAGAACATCTTATCACTCAATGAACACATTACCATAAAAAAAAATACAAATGACTTTATCATCAAGTGAAATTTATAATTATTAAACAAATACCGAAACTCCCACGTACATGCTTGGAATAGTAAATCTTCTGGATTGACGAAAAACACAGAAAAGAAAAACGTCGAAAGGAAAAAGTAGATGAAAGGTAAATATTGTGGATGGATTTGAAGTGTGAGTGCATAGGATTCTGTGTTCTTCAACAATCATTTTGGCATCATGAAATATTTGACTTAATTTATTGAAAACAATCAACACAACTTGAAATTCAAACCAATCAAAGTCAAATCTGATAAAGAGAATATATTTATAATACAAGCGCTCTTTTTTTGTCTTGACTCAGCCATAATAGCACGAATTCTGTATTTTTATGGGCTTCTATTATTTATCATACTCTTCACAAAACGATCGAAAGTATGGATATAATAGACGGCAATAAATCGTATACTATTACTGTAAAATCGAGTTTGTATTCTTTTTGTAATACTTCATTCATACAAATAAAAATTTTTTATACATTGCAGGTTTCAAATAGCACAGTTGGTATAATTTGTTTTTTTATTAGAGTAGAAATTAGGAAAAGAGACATTTGTTTATTGTAGAGCTACAAAAAAATAATTAAAATTTTTATTATAATGTTTATTAACGGAGGATGCTAAAGTTCTGTATTAATTTGATTTATAATACAGTGTTGCAATAAAATATAGTAGAGACTTGATCTATCTTTTAGAAACAGCATAGTTCCTACTATTAAAATCTATAAAAGAATTTGATCAAAAATATTCCTTCAAGACCAGAACAATCTTAGAACAAACGGTCTCGTACAAGTTTTCTGTAATTTTTGTCACAATTTTTTCGTTCAAACATATGTGTTTGATCTTTTTCATTATCTGCTTTTGAACTTTTCGAACACTACATAAATACATCTATACAATTGTTCATTGACGTAGTATTTGTAGAAACTATCTCAAGGTTTTTTTTATCTACTAATCAGAATAGAAATTCAAATAAGCTATTGCTTTTAATTCAATATAGACAAATAGTTTGGATAATTCTATCTCTACTGGAATGTCTATAAATTAGAGTTTTAAAAGACATACTCAAAACACGACATACTTTGTTTGAATGATTCTGAAAACTATTTAGTGAGAAATGTGGCCACACTATGATGTACTCTCAAATTGTAATAATATGAAAAAGCATTATTCTTAGATTTTATTTCCTAAACATATATTACAATCTATGTATGATCATAAGTATATCATTTGAGACTATTATATAGGACTAATCTTTACTAAAGATTCATGAGGTTATGTTCATTTTCTTTTATTCGTGATATTCAGTTAATAATATTTTCAAGTGAACTGAAAATTTATCTTTTCTTGTTTGGTTAATAGCTTCCTTCATTTTGTTCCATTTACATATATTAGAAGATTAATTTTGAAAATCAAATGGAAAAGTATATGTTTATAATCTATGATACAAAATTTTGTGCCAAACTCTCAACCTATGGTTCTCTGCTAAGGAGCATAGTAGGAAATTTATTCTTTTTCTAGTTGCAAGAGCAAAATATGAAATTTAGAAAGCATAGGAAAAAAAATTTTTCTTAGGACAAACTATGGATGACAAAGAAATTTGATATCAAATATTATCAAAAGAGCTCTTGCAACATACTTTTTTCCTTATATTATTCCTCGAGTTTGAAGAAAAAATTTTTCTTGAAAATCAATTAGATGAGAAAGGAATCTTTAGAAAACTTTATTGACTTTCATACTTTTAAAAAGTTTCTCAGTAATTCTTTAATAGTAAATAAAGTGTATTTTACAATTTAGTTTTGATAGAAAGTATTATTTGGCATCGAACCAATATGACATTGAGAAAAATCTATTATTTAGAATTTCAACATCTTAGCAAAGGTTAAAACTGTTTTGAATTTGTAATGAATTGTATACTATTTCAAAAAATGTGCTTTAGAAAAAAGATGAAAATTCATACAGTATCGGGAAACTATTGTCTAACGAAGGAAGGTGAAGATCATCAACCGTTCAATCGCTTTTGCATTGATAGATAGAAGTCAATCAAAAAATCTGACACATTCACAAAAAATTACCTTTGTGAAGACCTGTTTATATGTAAAGTTTCAAGTTAAAATCCAAAAATCATTTTTTCTGATGTTCTCGAGAGGAACCACGGCATTAATTTAAAAAATACCGTAAAAATATAGTATTTCCGTAGCAATAAGCTCAGGATCTGAGCTTTTTTCAGGGTATTAATAGTTCATTTGGATCTAAATAACGCACATAGCCTCAGTGCAAAAGCGAGGTAACAGATGGTGACCTTCCATCATGAGTCAGATGACCTGTTTTTTGAAATTAATGAAAAACATGTAAAACCTTGATATTTAAAGTCAATAAAAACATTATTTATCATATCTCAATTGAAAGAGTGATAAAGACACTTCTAGTTTGAAGAAAACAGAAGTTGAAAGTCTTTTTTTCTCGGACTCAAAGTTGATCTAAAAGAAAAACTTTGTTTCATATGTTTCTTGAAGTTCAGTTTTTGTTCTATCAATCAGAAAAAAAAATGAACTCTCTATAATATTTCTGAGCGAAGTCAAGATTTCGACAATTATTTTTTGCATCAAAAGTTAATTTCTAAGTATTATCAGATATTGATCATTTTTATATATGTATAAGAAAAATGAAATAACAGTCAACACCAAAAAAAGATATAAAAAGAAAAAAAAAAAGAATTAAAAAGAAATTTAAGAGTTATTTGTAGCTTGCGATTGTTCTTTGGTTTGAATTGGTTGTTGTTCCGAAAGGCGAAAGATAGCATGATTATCAAGAATTTCAGTACTTGGTCGATCTTTAGTAAATGTATTGAAACACATTGCTCGTGCAAGAACTTCAACAGGTGTTGTAATCCATTCAGGTGCTATCCGTTGTACAGTGTTACGAATAATTGTTTGTGCAAAATTTTCCAATGGACGATTTTCAGTTCGATCTACCATTAACATTCTAAAATATTTCAAAAAACAAAAAATTATACAATAATATATATATATATACATATACGTACGCTGGTCGATAAATTGATAAACGTTCAAATGACATTTGAGTCAAAGCTGTTTCTGTTTGACCCTAAAATAAAATAAAAATATTTTCTACTTAAATTCAATTAAAAAAAGAAAAATCATACTTTCACTTTAGGATAAAGAAATAATGATTGTGGATCAGCACCTTGACTTGATACAAGATGAAAATGTTTACAACCTTCTTGCTTAGCAAGTCGAGCTGCTCCAACTATATAATCAAAATCGACTTGTCGAAAACCTTCCTAATGAAAACCAAAACCAAAACCTTATTACAAAAATTATATAAATTAATACAATACATACTGCTCCAGATTTGCCTCTTGTTGTACCTAAACAACAATAATGTATATCGGCACCATGAAATGCTTCTGGATAATCATCAATTTTAGCAAAATCGATTAGACGTTGTTCCTAAATATTAAATAAATATTTTCAATTCATTTATTCATTCATATCATATTTAAATTATCTATGACTCAATTACATGTAACATAGTCATCATTTTCTCATTCCCTTATTTTTTTCTGTTGTTAGTTATCGATAGATAATAATATAATGTAACCTATTTAATCATGAGCTTGTCTATGTCAAAAAAACGTTTGTTTTCTATAAAAATTTTTAAATTGCCTGTCATGATTATATCACAAAAAAAAAGGTCAAATTAGGTTAAATTTTTAAATAATGCTTTATTAATGAGATATTTAATTAATTAATTAAATACCGTTTTTTCTTTATATTCATTATCTGTGTATTCAACATGACGACGACCAACCAAAATAATTTTTTTAAATTGATTATTTTGTATTAATTCTTTTAATAATGCTTTTCCACTTTCTCCCGTATAACCAGTAATAAGAGCAGTTAAATTTGTAGACATCTTAAATAAAGTACAAAGAGCAAAATACTTTTTTTAAATGTCAAGATGATTTAATAAATACGATGCTAATTTTATTTTAAAATCCATTCATTTTTATCTATAACGTCATTAGTATATTTTCCACATAATATTATCATTAGTATAAGAAAATTATATACAATATTTCATTCGCAATATATTTATTCTACTATATATTAAAAACACAATAGTCATTTTTATGATGTCAATAAGCAAATATTTTTTTATTTTGTTTGTTATTTTATCCAATCAAAAGAAAACAAAAACATAGCAGGCTCTCGCTCATTTGTTATCGAGCTCTTTTTTTTAATCGACCCGTATAGGCCAAAAATAGTTAATTTGCTAGTAGACAAGCGCCGCTATCAATGTATTTCTACTTGTAATCAGTAGCGACACAATTTTGAAATAAAATTAAAAAACATCTACTTTTTTTTTTCCTGTTAAACGAGAAATTCATGTGACGAAGCATAATGTTGTTCTTTTACGTTCCAATATTATGGTCATGACATACATTTTCTTTTGATCACACTTTTTTTTTTCCCAGTGACTTTTATCAAAACATTCTTTCTAAATTTACTTTTAGAGATATTTAATTTACTCAACATGTCAAATCCACGGCGATTAAATGTCTGTATTAATATTTGAGGAAAGTTTTTTTTAGAATTTCTTTTTTTATCATTAGTATCATCATAATTATCGTGGGAATGCACGTAATGGCAGAAATCCAAATCATCAACAGCAACAACAACAGCAACAGCAACCAAGTAAGTGTTGTGAAATTTCATTTTTGTGAGTATTCACTACATAACGGAAAAATCCGAGTTGTAACAGAACTCTGACTCATTCATAAAAAGTCAACATTGCATCAATAAAAGTTTACTAAAGGTTGATATAAATTACAATGTAAAAGAATAATTCTCTTATTCAAAATGATTCATTTATTTTATGAAAATCATTTGTGCATTTCTTACATTGATAGATAACACTCAACAAACATATTTTTATCCATATTCATCTGGACCACAGGATGGTGGATTTGATACAAGTGCATGGGGCAATTATACAAACTATTATCCAATACAAATTGAAAATAATATGAATCCTAATGGTATTAATAATAATGCTCCACCACGTGATAATCAAAGGTTGCGAACAAATCAACAGGGCAATCATCAAAACAATCAAGGTAGAAAACCGTCGAATAGCGCTGTAATTGTAAGTAATTGTTATTCAGAGTGCATAAAAATAGTTTTTATGTTTATCATAGTCATGTGAAGAATACTTAACTGAAGGACAAGTTTTACAAGATATTGCAACAAAGAAAACAATTCGTGGAATTTTACGAATTAATGCTAAACAATATACAGATGCTTTTATTAGTGATCCTGTAAAAAAAAACACTTTTATTTGATTATTATATTTATGCAACAAAAAAATTCTTTTTTTTTTAATGTTTATTTAGGATGGTGGTACTGATTTTTATATAGATAATGTTCGTGAACGAAATCGAGCATTAAATTTAGATGAAGTAGCTGCTGAAATAAAACCTAAACGAGAATGGAAAATTCTTCCTGAATGTTCTTATCTAGTAAATTTTATTCTCGAAAAGTTTTTTGTTATTTAAGTTAAATATTTTTTTTTTTAACTCAAAGGTTGAACGTTCTATTCAAGCTTTACGAAATGGTCAAATATCAGACGATAAATTAATTGAAGATAATCAACAACAACAACAACAAAATCCATCAAATAGACGTGATAATAAACGAGAAACAATTAATACTCTTAATCGTGATAATATAACATTAACTGATGATATAATTAATAAAATATCAAATGAATATTTTCAACGAACAGTTAAAGTTGTATATCTTTTTCGACGAAGACATGCAATGAAAGCTGCTGGATTACTTCGAAAAATGCCTGATAATAATCCAAATTTTGCTTTATTTTCTCCAATGGATAGGTAAAAGAAAAAAAAAAGAACTTAATGAACCTTGAGATTCTTTATATCATAAACGTTTAAGAATCTTTTGAAAACAATAGAATACATTAGTATATATAGGATACTATTATATACAATAAATGAGAAAACCATTCTATCTATGTATTATCAATCGAAGCAAAAGATTGATCTCATACATAGATTTTCTATTGATTCGACACATTCTATTTTTAATATATATGGGCGTAGTCAACTATGGGGTATTACGGTTTGCTTTCTTTCCATTATCATTTAAAAAGCCTAACCATATTCGGATCAAATTATCACCCTCATCCCTAAGCTACTAAATTTAAAATATTATCTGCTGCTGACTGTCTTATATGAAATAATCCAGTCCTTGAAATCGTTTGCAAGAGACTGAATAATTTCATATAAGACAGCCAGCAGCAGCCAATATTTTAAATTTAGTAGTTTAACGATGAGGATGATAATTTGGTCCGAATATAATTAGGCTTTCTAAATGATAATAGAAATAAAGCAAATCGGAATGCCCTATGAATGGTCACTCCCATATATATATATATTGTTTATTTAGTCGCATTCCTCGTTTAATGATTCCAATGAATAATTGTCCATTAGGTAAATAAGAACGTGATAGACTTTGAATAAGATTTATTTATTTATTTATTTTGTATTTAGATTTTAAAGATCGTCCTAATGATTATGAAAAATCCTTATTTGTTGCAAAAATTGTTGAAATACCAGCTGATAAAAAATTTGCACGTGGGTATGTTAAATAGATAATTCTATTATTATTATTATTATTATTATGAATTTTCTTTTGTGTGATTTCTTTTAGAGAATTAATGGAAAGTCTTGGTGATGCTGATACACTTGAAGCTCAAAGTAAAGCTATTTTAATGGAAAATGATATTCGAGATGAAGAATTTAATGATGAAGTAAAAAAGAAAAAAAAAATTATTTATTTTTTTTCTTTATTTCATATTTTCTCATTCTTAGATTATTAAATGTTTACCATTAGAACAAGACAATTGGAATATACCTGATGAAGAATTTTCTAAACGATTAGATCTTCGAAATAAATGTATTTTTACTATTGATCCAGCAACAGCACGAGATCTTGATGATGCCCTTAGTTGTGAACGACTTGAAAATGGTATTTAGACTTATTTCATTAGAGATGTTCATTGGCGATTGCCCATGTCATGACGATAGAAAAGAAAAGTTCTTGCATCTCAACTATTGTTTGCAAATAAAAACAAAAAACAACAGTTGCCACAATAAACATCTCTACTTTTTTTATTGATTTAATAAATAAAAATATTTTTTAAATAGGACATTATCAAATTGGTGTTCATATTGCTGATGTAAGTTATTTTGTTCAAGAACAAACACCACTTGATAATGAAGCTGCTCAACGTACGACAAGTGTCTATCTTGTTGAGCGAGTAAGAAAGAAGAAGAAAAAAAAAACCAAAACGAAATTTTAATTATTCTATTAAAAACAAATTATTTGATATTATTTATAGGTTATTCCAATGTTACCACGATTATTATGTGATCGATTATGTAGTTTAAATCCTAATGAAGATCGTCTAACATATTCTGTAATATGGACAATGGATGAGAAAGGCAATGTAAGAAATTCTTTATCATTTTTCTTTTTTTTTTTTTCTATTTGAAATTTTCTCATTAGATTCTTGATGAAAAATTTACACGTAGTATTATTCGATCGTGTGTTAAATTAAGTTATGAACACGCTCAGGTATAAAATAATAATATTAATAATATTTATTTATGTAATATTAAATTTTCTTCGTTTTTTTTTTCTTGTCTCTTCTAATTAAATAGGATATCATTGATCAACCAAATAAAGAATTTAAAATTGAAGATTTTCCTATAATACAAAATAATTTTTCTATTAATGATATAAAACAAATTGTATTAGATTTATATGAAATATCAAAAATTTTACGTTCAAAACGTATTGGTGCATTAACATTAAATCAACCAAAACTTCAATATCAAATTAAAAATGATAATAAAATGCCATTAAGTTTTTCAATTTATCAACAAAAAGAAAGTAATCGATTAGTTGAAGAATATATGCTTTTAGCAAATATGCAAGTTGCACGTAAATTATGTTTAACAGAATCAATACATGATAAAGTTATATTACGTCGTCATCCACCACCTAATTCAACAGCATTACAAAATACAATTAAAATATTAAAATCTGTTGGTATTGAAATTGATGGAAAATCATCAGATGATATTGCTAAAGTTATTCGAAATATTGATAATGAATCAACAAAAAAATTACTTATACATTTACTTGCAAAATCTATGCAATTAGCTATTTATTGTTGTACATCATGTGTACCAGATAATAATTATTCACATTTTGCACTTAATGTTGATTTTTATACACATTTTACATCACCAATTCGACGATATCCAGATATATTAGTTCATCGATTACTTGGTGCTGTACTTAGTAAATTATAATATATTAAAAATTTTCAAAGAATTTTTTGTTTTTTTGTTTTATTTTAGATTATAATGATAATCTTTATCAAGCACCAAGAGCACTTGAACAAATAGCACAATTGTGTAATGAAAAAAAAATAAGTGCTAAAACATGTTCAGAACGTAGTGCAGAACTTTATCTTGCTGTGCTTGTTCGTGTAAGTATTATATTTTTTTTTTCTTCAATACGATGTTTAGTCAAGCGTATCATTCAGTATACCTTGAGATATAAAATGACATGTTAATCAAAGTAATTACAACTATTTATGGTATTTGTAACCTTGCATCTAGAAGATTCTGTTTTTTTAATTGTTCATATTCATAAGATTGTTAGAACTAAGTGACCACATTGTTCGACACTTATCCATATAACATTGTATTCAAATTTTGATATCGTTATTCACCGAATGACTCGAAAGACGTCACTAATTATAGTTTGTTTTGGATCACGCATACTACCTACGCTGTGACATACATATGTTCTGTTGTTTAGTTAAGTTTTGTCATGCACGCTTAAGCAATAGACCGTAAGAATGCATCGTCAAGTGATTCTTTTGTTTAGAGTTATAGCTAGTATTAATTGCAGGAAAGATATCTGATTATCGAGCCTGTAGCTAAACTACACTATATATGGCAAAGTAGTGGAAAAGTACAGGTATTCTTTCTTATGTCGTTCATTTTCAGACACAAATTTAAAAATATATTTTTCATTTTGAACTCTATGCACTATATAGATATTAATAAGGTATAAATATCAAACGAAGGCTTTTTCTATTTCAAATGACATATAGATTATTTATGATATATTTGTTATTATTATATTTTTTGTCAATTGTAGACAGATCAGGTATTGAAATTAATATTTATGTTTTCAAAGAATTTATTTCTATTTTTTTCAGCATCGTAAATAAGATTAAGATTAGTAGAAAATTTTAATTAGTATAAGAATTTAAAAAGGTAATTCGATAGATTATTAAATAAATATAAAAATCGTACTTTTTTTTCCTCGAATGTATTATGTTATTATCAAATCGTACTTTCAAGGTTAACGTGATATATGAAATTCGATATAAGAATTGATATCGATAAATTTGCGTCAAAGAATATTATATTGTATAGATAATTTCTACCTTAATCTTATTCAAATATATGCTTTAGTAATTGATTTGATAATCAGAAGTGGTTAGTCTGAAAATTAGTTTGCAATGTTGATTCTAAGTCTTTATATCATTTAATACGAATAATGAATATCGACAAGTTTTTTTCAATAAAAAAATGTCAAAATTAATGTCACGATATTGAAATTTCTTTTATAATAAATTATGTTTTTTTACGATCTATATATTAAATTCACTTTTTAAAGTAAATAAACACTTGAAAAGAATCTGTTCTTAATGTCCATCCATTTATTCATTTGTATAAATTTTTAACCGACAAATTCACTTCAAATTTTTTCATCCGAAATAATCACTTATACCATTTCGTCATGTGAATAAATAATAAATCGCATGAAAAATTATTTTAAGTTTTTTGAATCAATTGTATCATGATCTGTTAATAGAAAGTATGTGCTTTATATTTAAGGAATACGGTACAATATCCGATGAAGCAGTTATTGTTGGAGTTAAAGATGAATGTCTTGATATTTATTTATTTCGTATTGGTGTACCATTACGTGTTGGAATTAATGTAAGTATTTTTTTGTTGTTGTTTCTTATTTACTATTTAGTTTATATTGATAAACGAAAACAAAAATTTTTTTTTTTTTAATTTTCTTATAGAATTTACCATTAGATCATCCACGTACTGATTATAAGAAAATGTCAAATGATCAAACAGCTGAATTAACAATTTATTGGAAAGAAAATGATCCACCACAAACAATAAAACAAATTTTAAAACCATTTAATTTAATTAATGTTGATATTATGTCAGAATTTGATATAAATATGAAGAAACTTAAATTAACTGTTTGTTTATTTAAAATAAAAAATTTTTTTTCAATTAAATTTCATTTCTTTATTTATTTCAATAGGCACAATTACGTCATCCAAATGCAGAAAAATTAACAACTTTAGCTAATCTTTGTACATCAACATTACCTGAAAATCCTATTGCAATTCAACAACGACAAGATTTTGATCCTTATTCAGAATATTAAATTTTTTATTTCAATAGTTTTTTTTTCTGTTTTCGAGTTTCTAATATAGATAATTTTCATTAATTATGTTTATATACCGTAACATATATTATGTAGGAATAATTAGTTATATATTTTAACATCGAAAACAAAAAGTGTTATATCTACTATTTATCTATAACTTTCTCAATCGATTTTACGACCACATTGTATCTTTATTTCTGTTTCTCATCATTTTCTTTATTCTGTTATAGATGATATATATATATACGTTTTTGTCACTCAGTAACGACGAGTAACAAGCAATCGAAAAAAAAAAAAAGAAAAGCAGGTAATGTAACAATGTCAACGTGCACGAATATTTCTTTTGCTAGTACAGGTAAAAATAAGTAAAAAACGAAAAAAAAAGGAAGAAGAAATGAAGAGGGAAAAGAAAAACAAAGAAAAAAATGCACTTGTTTATTCATTTGGTTAATAAAAAGTCACCAATGAAACCATCATAATATTTGTTTAGGCATTGCATATTATATCAATTTTTAACTACTTTATGCTTTTGTCAATTGTTTATCTTTATTCGGTATTATTTTCAATTTAATTATAATGATAAGCTGGTAAACTATTTTTGATTTTTTTTTTTTTTGTTATATTTTTCTAATTCATTTAATTTATTCTTTGAATAATTTTCTTTATAGTGAACCAATTCAATCTTGTAAAATTCCTTTAAAATCTTGTCAAGGTTCAATTATTGAACACAATCTAGTTACAATACGATTAAGTGTCGAATGGCCTGATAAAGGTGGTGACGATCCTAATCTTGTAATGTATATTACAAATAAAAGTAATTTAACATGTGATTATTTTTTCTTACTTTCTTCATTTTTTTGTTTAATTTTATTTTTTTATATTCAGTACCATCAACAACATGTATTCAACAAAATCAATCATTAGTACCTATATATAGTAATTCCATTAATCATAATCATCATAATCATCGTAATCATAATTATCAACGACAAGAAACTTTTGATCCAATATATCAACAACAATATTATCATCAACATCATTCATCACCAATAAATTATCATAATTCATCAAATTCAACAATAATACCTACTGGTGATCAAAATGATGTTTCATCAACTACAACAACAGAAGTATATAATGGTATACAATCACAAACATTAACATCTCCTACAATAATTCAATCAATTGGAAATCAATCACAATCTCAATTAATACCTAATTGTCGATATCAAAATACAACAAATCAACAATATTCAACACATCAACATGTTATGCATATACCAACATCTAATATGAATGATTCTCAATTAAATATGCAAATGACAAATCTAAGGTACTTATAAATATTTTTTTTTTTTAATATTCTAAATCGATTATTGATAAAATCTTTTTTTTTTCTGCATTAAATCATTGAAACAGACAGAAACCAATCAAATCAGACAGAATCTTGTTTAATGAAAATGATTTATAGTTGTCCTTGTTGTGTCATTAAACCTTGACCAAATTTTTACAATAACTTATTATCAATCTTATTCTTTTTTTGTCTTTTAAGTTCATTATCATCAATGAAGCAATTGTCTTCAGTGACAACACATGTTGATCTACAGCAAACATCAACTATGGCTTGTTCACCATCAATGTTAACAAATCCAAATACAAAACGTATAATTTGTCTTTGTCCAAATCCACCTAAAGGTCATGATCATAATTGTCCTGTTCCTAATCTACACAAACAATCACCAACTACAATTTTAACAAATGAAACTATATATCGAACATTTAATGATCAAACGATGCCTCATCGACCTATTTTTCCATCACAGATACATTCAAATGATATTATTCCAACATTCTCTACGCAAGAACAAATAAAAATAACATCAATACCATTTTCAAATTCGGATCTTATGAAAACAAATGGTTCATCATCAAATGTACCAACAATTATTTCTCAACAATCACCATTATCAACAATATCAATGCCTTCATTGAATACTGATAATAATTTTCAACAACAAACATCAAATTTTTCTCAAGTTATTATTAATAATCCATCAAGGTAATTTTTTCTAAAGCAAAGAAAAAAAATTATATCAATTAATCTTTTTGTTTTTTTATTCTTATTTTTCTATTTTTCTATTTAGCTATCAAACGACTCCATCAATATCAATGCCTATTGAAGGACGACAAAATATTAGTCCAATTAATTCACTTCAACAAAAACAACATCCTATAACAAAAAATAGTTTAATAAATCGAGATCAATTATCACTTCAAAGTATGAAATGATTTTTTTTTCTAAATACTTAGAGAGTGACAGTAAAATTGTAATATCTCGAGAAAATTATCTTTCTATATATACTAATAGTCCAAATAGTTTTCTCTAATTCTATAATATTTTATTATTATGATCACACAGTAAAACCTTTCTAATCTGAACACCTTCGGGATCAGTAAAAAGCGTTCATAATAAGTAGGTGTTCATAAAGGAGAGGTCTATTTCCAGCAAAAATCGATTTTTGGGACCGGCTAGAAGTGATCATAATAGCGAGGGGTTCATGTGTAGAGGTTTTACTGTATTAGAATTTTAATCATCATAACTATGCATTTCTGATTCAGATGGATAAAGAAAACTTTCAGTATTACATTTAATTAATCTGTACTATAGTAAATATTATTTTGTGCGAGTAGGCTTTATCATAGTTGAAAGATGATATCAATAGTTCCATAAAGTTCGAGAGAACATTGAACACAAATAAGAAAGAACGACCTACAAAACCTCTAATTTAGATAATATTGTCAATGATGACTCGTCAAGGTCAGCCATTTTGATATACAATGAACGGTAATCGTTTTATACTAATAATAATCAAAGGTTATGTAGTATAGATTTATTAAATGTAGAAACGAAACGTTTTCCTTATCCATCTGAATCAAAAAATGGACAATTTTGATCGAAATTGTAATATTATTATAATAACTGAAGAATGATAAAATATTATAGAATTACAGAGAATTATTTGGACTATTGAGATATATCGAGAAAATGTCCTTGAGTTTCCTGTAAGATATTATAGTGTTATTATTACTACTTTTGATATATCTTAAGTATATTTTTGAAAATTTTTATTTTAGTTGATTTACATCAACAAATTCAAAATACAAATAATTTAAATTCTTCATCAACACAACAAAATAATATTCGTAGAATTTTATCAACTACTCCTGAAAAACAACAGGAGATATTTATTTTTCCAGATAATTCAAAAGTAAATTTTCATATTTATTAATTAAATCTAATAAATATATTTATTTCTTTATTTTTTCTTTTCAAAGAGTACTACAACTGTACCATCAGATAATACTTTACATGATTCAACGAATGATATAAATAGAAATATTGAACAACACGAAGAACAAGATACATATTCTGTGCAATCAATGATAAGATCACCGGTGAAACTTGATATTTCTATGTCACAAAATTTAATGAGAACAAGAATTGGTTCGCCAGAAATCGATCAAACTATATCGGATGTTATTAATGGCAAAGGAAAAATTTGCATTGATAATAAATCAACATCAACTAATATAAGACAACAACAACAACAAAAAAAACAACCATTATCAGCTCAACTTGTTTGGGAACATAATGGACCAGTAACAACAAAACCATTGCTATCACTAGTACATCAAGAACAGCAACAACAACAACAACAACAACAACAACCAACTTGCGATTCAAATGTATCGACATTAAATCGTCCAACTGTTTTAAGTATTACACTACCACACAATCATTCACCTTCGACAGGACAAAATAATAAGAATACATTATTACAAAAAGAACAACCACGAAAACCAACAATAGAGAATAGTAAAAAAAGAAATCGATCAAAATCGACGAGCACTATAAAATCAAAACGTACGAGTGTATCTACTGTTAATATGATTCCCCTGGCAGAAAAACCATTATCATCTCCTCAAGATATATCTCAAACAAAACCAGCAACACCACCTGTTACGTCGCAGTCAAACTTAGTTAATACACTAATTTCATGGGCAAATGCATCCACATCATCATCATCATCATCGTCATCATCATCGTCATCGTCATCATCGTCATCATCACCAGGATGTGTAACAACAACGATTGCATCTATTGAAAATTTAAATCAGAATTCAATAGATAATTCATGGGAAACGTTTCATATGCATCATAATCATCCTCTACTTGATTGTTATGGTTCTAATAATGAACAGCAACAAATAGTCTATGCAAAAAATCCTGATGAATTTGAGTTCAATGATGAATATCTAGCACAAGTACATGAACATTTTAATTCATCAACACCGCCACCTTTAACATCAGTATCAACATCGATTATTAGTGAAATATTAACTCCAACATCAATAGATAAATCATCAAGTATGTCAGCAGCATCTATACTTAATTCCGATGATGTTTATGAAAATTTTTTTCAAACATATACATCATCTTGTCTATCAACACCACAAGAAAATCAAGTAACATCATCAGTATTAACACCACCTGATCATCAAAATAATCAATTATCATATCAACAATATTATTCACAAACTGATGAATATTTTGATTCAAATCTACAATCACAAGTAAGACTGTTATCTGATGTACAATCTTCATGTTAATAAAAATACATATATTTAACCTATTAAGCAATGATTTCCTCCAACTAAGAAAAAAAAACAAAAGAATGAGTTTCGTTATTTTTTTGTTTTAAATTTCAATCAGATTTGTATTTTTAAATCGTTTCAATAAAAGATTTGTTTTTGTTTTGTACTATAATTTGAATGAGAATTGAAAATTTCGGCAATGAAAATAAACAGATGCCTTACAATAAATAGTGTTGTTAATCATTGAGATATTTTATTATCCTTTAAAATTCTCATTCTAGTCTCACTGAATACTATCTTTAATTTTTCATAAAACTATCGATTGTATCTTTCAAAGATATCTTTAGCATCAACGTCATGTTGACATACATAATATCTATTTAATTATATCGATTCTTGGAGTATTACTTTATTTTTATTGCTCTTTTATGATACAGAATAAATATAAATAAAATCATTACATCTATTAAAATAAAGATAAAGAAATTCTTTATATTTACTTTATTAAGATAACTACAAAAATAATTTATCTGTATAAAATAAAGATAAAATAAATAATAAGGACATTTTTTTTATGCGAACTTAATTTTTTGAATTTTTATCAAGTAGTTCATAAAAATATATGATATCATATATACAAATAAAATTTACAGAAAAGTTTTTTGCATATATTTTTTTTTTCTATATATTAATTTCATTCTTTTAGTAACATTACATATTGAAGTGATGCTGATCCTAGGGAAAGAAAATTTGATTAACATATTCTGTTTTTTATATTAGTTATTTGTCTATGTACCTATAGCAGAGTGAAATCTTTCTTTATTCTTTATTTTTGGTAATAAAAAATTTATTTATTTTAATGTTTTTATAAATATTAAGATTATATATATATATATTTATCTTATAAAGTAAAACCCATAATCGGTGCAAAAACTAAAATAAAAATCGAGAAACTTTTAAAGTGTTTTCTTTAAAGAATGGATCTACTCAAATTTGAAATATGCTAATATATTCTATAAATTTTCGATGTAACTTTCAAAATTTTAGAACAAATATTTGGGAGAAGTTTATACTGATATGAAAAATTTATTTGTAAGAATCAAGTCAACAATTTTATAGAGAATAAAATTCTCTAGCCAGTGAGTTCAACATTGGAATCTAAAACAATTATTAAATGTGTCACAGAGAGAGAGAGAAAGTAAAAATAGGCTATATATTATTGGACATCCGTTATATATACATTGGAAATTACTAGTGATACAAAAATAGTTTTATGATGTTTTTTTTTGAAATCAACTTAAATATAGATTCATTTAGAAGTTCGGTTCGAAGTCCGAAATAGTTTGGTAGGTAACTTTATTAGATATTGATTTCAGAAGATAACTGAGATATTTATAATATGATACATTTCAGACTAATAGACAAGGTTGTATTTTGCCAACTTATAAGAGAACATTCTCAAATGTCGGTTGCCATTCCACTTGATGTTATGGCTACGAATCGATTTCTGGAAGACTAAGAAAAGTCTAAAAGAATTCGGGCCTGTGGCCTACTAATGAAAAGTACGGAATTTTTAAATATATAAAAATAAAGAATTTTATTTTGAAATGTTATCTTAAAATAGGAATAATAATCGTTAAAAAAGTTCTGAAAGTTTCAAAGAAAATAAATGTATTGTTTTCGAGATACTAAACTTTACCAATAGACCTGAATCCGGATAGACTTTTCTTAGTCTGACAGAGATCTATTCTTAATCATTCATATCAGATTGAATAGTGTTCGACAGTTAGAGGTGCTTTCTTGTTAGATTTATCGATCGATATTGTATATTAATAACGAGAAAAATAGAACGGTAAGATATTTTTTCAATGGAACTTTGGCTCAAGAAAGTGACGTCTCAAAGTATTTGGCTTGATTCCAAGCATAAATAGACGATCACGAAACTGAAATATCTCTAAGAGAAATCGATTAGATAGATTTCTCAAGTCGAGTTACAATTGTTGGACTAAATTTTTGGTTGTATGGTACGAATTTGTTTGTACAACTCAATTGATAAATTATAAATTGAAATATAGTTCACAAAGAAATTAAATTGACAAAAAATTTCAAATATTCTTAATTCTTTTTTTTAGACAGATAACTTTGAAAAATTCAATATTTTAAAAGAAATTCATTCATTTCATTTACAGTTAATCAGATATTCTAATGACTTGAAGATTCTTGTATAGATAACATTTGTCATTTTAAATTTCTTAATTTGATTTGATTAAATGAAATCATATCCTAAGACATAAATATCTAATAAAAATGATTTTAACTTAATTTTATAGATCTATTATTTCAAATTAGACGAATGGTATATATTAGTTTCATAATATTTTACTTATACTTAGAAGTAATATGATATTTAGAAAGATTCTCATTTAAAATTTTAATTTTAATTGATTGAACTTTTTTCAATTTTCAATGTAGACTAAACTTAATATTGATCGAAACTATTGTTTCTCTTTATGCATTTCATCGGGAAACAAAGATTCGATTTTGTAGAATATATTTGAAATTTTCAAACAATTAATTATTGATTAGTAATGATAACTTTCTATTTTTATTCAATATTTTTACTTAATAATATTCAAACTATTAGTATTAGAGCTTGTTATTTAGCACATAATTTTATACTAAATGAATATTTCTTAAACTTCGAAATTTATCGATGAATCTCAACAATTATAACTCGAAAAAATTTTCTTTTCATATCGATAGAATCATGCGACATCTCTCTTATTAACGTTAAGTAATAGAATCATGTCATTTATAATGATGTTTGTATCTCTTACTCATATCATTGAAAGACTGTAGTAATAATAATGATTGATCTAATAAATTTATTTATATTTATTTCTATCTATTTTAAGATACAAATACCAAAAGCCATAGAAACGAAGTCAAATACAATCAATCAAATGAATAATAATAATAATAATGATAGTGAAATATCCAATAAGCAACAACAACAACCACAACAACAACAAACACAAAAACCATTGAAAAAACCTAATCATCAATCAAATTCTATTAATAATAAATCTTCCAAATCTTCATTGAAAATTTCTAAACAACAAAATCGACCAAATCCAATTCAAAAACAAACATCAACAAAACCTACGTGTACACGTTGTGGTTTTACACAATTAATGGATATAACACATCATGAATTTCCAAAACAACAAGGTCTTGTATTTGAATGTTTATCATGTGGAAATAGTTCTATACGATCTAATGTATCTGCTGATGAACGACAACGACGTTTAGCTAAAGTTGCTGCTGATCATTTAAATAAAGTTGAATGTCAATTTTGTCATCGAATGTTTCATTCACATAATGATTATTTAATGCATTTGAGAAACGATCATGCATCAAATAAACCTATGTGAATTTTGTTTTTGTTATTGTAAAAAACAAAAGAAGAAGAAGAAATGATAACTGCCCGATTATGATACTTAGTAGTATTTGTTTCTTTTCATTTTGGTGCAATTAAAAATTTCTTTTTCTGATTGTTGATAAAAAAAAAAGTATATATATATATTGTTTTTTTTTTTTTTTTTTTGTGATAATTAAATACGTGTAAGACGGTAATTGTGCATACGCGTGTATGTGTGGTTATATTTTAAAACATATAAATACTCTTGATATATCATTGATTTGTGCTTTATTATATTCTGGATGGATTTAAACTTTTCTTTTTTTTTTGTTTTTTTTTAACTGTGTTAAAAAAAAGAAAATTTTATTTTAGCTGAGAGAAAAAAAGATTGTTTTTTTTTTTAATTTAAATAAAAATTTTTGAATGACAATTTTCTTTTTTTTTTGTAGAATATTGTTTATCGGATATTTTTCTTCATGGATTTTACTGTAGGTCAAATTGTTTGGGCTAGATGTAATAAAGATAATATTTATTGGCCCGGAAAGATTACTATGATATCAAATAGTACAAATGATTTATGGTTATCAGAATTACTTGATAATGTTCAACAACAATGTACTTATCTTATTGAATTTTTTATTACAAATCAATCAATTTGGACAACAGATATATTACATTATCGTCAATATCGAGATTCTATGATAAATGGTTCATTTATTCATTATGGTCTTCATCCAACAATAAAACAAGATTTTTTAAATGCTATTAATCAAGCTGATTATAATAGTAATCATGAAATATATGTGAATAGTAATAATTTAACTTCAATGAATACGATGACTTCACAACAACAAGAACAAAACTTATTGTCTACAATTGAAGATAATACCGATAACAATTTTCTCTTGACATCAAATTCAATGCTTACATCAAATACAGGTAAGCAACAAAAGACAAAATTTCGAAAACTTGAAATTCTTTATATTAAATGTTAGATATTTTCCTAAGTTCTATCAGAAAGTAATGATATATTGTTCCATAATAATTTAAACACAATGGAGAATATTACAGAACACATATACGTAGAACTCTGAAGTTTTTCAGAATATACTCGATCGATCTACTGATGAACATATCAATCTAAATATGTTGTAGACAAAATTAGAATTCTAATATTGACCAGACACTCATTAATCCGAATAAGAATTATAGTTTTGTTTGAGCAATATTAAAATTCGACTAGAGATAAATTCATACAATGACGTGCTTTACTAAAGATAAAGTGGAATATATAAAAAAAAACAATGTACGTGAGAATACTGTTATCGCGTCCATCATGTTGATAAGCTGTATAAATATAGATACATGGACTACAGTCTAATAAAAAAAAAAAAAAAACGTGTTTGAATGGAATTCAACAGCAGGCTGCACGTGTAATTATAAAAACAAATGTGCTACGAAATAATGTTTATGTTGAAAAAAAAGGAAAATATTTTTGCGCGACAAAATGTCATTCTAACCTACGTGGTTGTACAATAGAGGTCGAAAACGAACCGAACCGAACTCGAACGGAGTTTTTGAAAATAAAGTCGAACCGAACTCGAACTGACTTTTTGAGAATAAAGTCGAACCAAACCGAACCTGAAGTAATTTTGAAGCAAAAAAAGTTGAACATGGTTTAATGTCCGATGATAAAAAAAGTAACTAAACTATCATTGATTTAGATAAGTATAATACAGTCAGAAAAGATAAAAAGAACATTTATTGATTGTTTCACATGCTTAATTTAATATCTGTGTATTGCTGTCTACTTTTTCTTTTAGTTTTAGTTACGCAAATTGTGTTTATGATGATAAGTCACTTTTATATGACATAATTCTTTGATTTTTCTCCTATAAATTTCTCGTTTTTTCTAAAGTGCGATGAATAATCGTCCGTAGTGATCTGAGATTAGTATCAACATTAGAATATTTCTAATTTTCGTATATCAATATTAACGTATAATTTTAATCTATAAATGTATTCATCAGTGATAATTGATACGAATATGAACTCCCATGTGACAATTTTGATCGTCCGAAAACTAAGTTTTGACTTCTGATCTAGTCTTGATTAAATGGCAGTAATACTACTCCAGTTGGATCGCAGTCGAACTAGTTTTTTAAAGACCAGCCGAGCCGAACCGAACTCGAATTATGTTCTCGAAAAAAAGTCGAACCGAACCGAACTCGAACCGTGTTTTCAAAAGTGAGATCGAACCGAACCGAACTTGAACCTATTTTCCAAAAGTGAATTCGAACCAAACTGAACTCGATCTAGAAAAACTCGGTTCGATTCGATCTCTGTTGTGCAAATATGAGTGAATAAATTAAAATTGTAACGAAAAATTATTGATATACGGTCTATGATTGTATATCAGCAACGTCTTTCATGTCTGTAATGGTCTCTGGCTAGCGTCTGTCACGATCTGTGGAGAGGAGTGTATATTTCTATCCTATATACTTTAACACTTCTTTTAGATCGTGTTTCACAAAGAAGAACAGTTACTCGATTTGGATTGTATGATTTTATCTCTGGTGGAAATCTAATTTTACCTATAACAAATACTTACAATAGGAAATCTTGTTTTTAATAACTATAATAGTATTCCTAGTGAATCTGCTAATTCATAGGATCAGTGACGAATCTAGGATTTTTATAATGGAGGGACAATTCAGTAATAGTCAACAATGCCTTTGAAAAAATGTCCCTGAGAAATAGTCCTTTATTCGTATTGTATTCTGAAAAAATGTACTCGATTATCAAAATGTACTTTTAATAACATACGAACAGAGTATAGGTAGTGTGAGTGTGTGTCTTAGTATTCTGTTCTTTCACAATCAGTCTCACACTCACTTTACACCCACATCTACGTTTCAGTAGCATTTTGTTTAAAAAAAATAACGATTGAGGATGAGAGATATTTTCACATGAGGAAACTTCTTTCACATACATTTCCACTAAGGACATTTTTCTATGAGGACGAAAACTAGAATACATTACGTCTAGGACATTTTTGAGAGGATATTCTAGCGCACGTATTTGGCGAGAGGGGACGATCATGATCATAAAACGTGTTTTGAAGCTTATTAGAGGTACTGTCAACTCATTTTTAAGCGTTTTCTGCTAGGAAAAACATAGAAAAATTTTTTATAAAGGAGAGAAATCGTTACCAGCATTCCTCTAAAGCCGCCACTGCATAAGATCATATCTAATTAATTCTATAACATCGAAACAACTCTATTAAGCTTTTAAACTCTGTTGAAAGTTTTAAAATTCAATGCTTACGTTATAAACTAAACATTCATATTTTATTTTTAATAAAATATATTTTTAGAATATTATAATACATCATATCAACAAATATCAACACCATCATCGAATTTCACAATTCAATCATTAGATACATTTGCAACAAATAATAGTAATATTAATCAAATATTAACGACAAATAATGATTGGTATAAAGAACAAGGTTTATTAGTTGAATCAATAACACCACCTTTACATTCGAAAAATGATTATCAACTTGAATGTATATCTTCATCAGATAATTTTCAAAAACAAAATTCTGTTATAATAATTACATCAAAAACTTATTCAAATTCATCATTTATTTCTTATCTTTTTAATTCTCTTTCAAATATTTTTCATTCTTCAATAATCTATATTGATGATTTAATAAATTATCAACATCCAAATACATATAATATTTATTATCTTATTTGTTTTGATTATTTTGATTTAATTATTAAACAAAAATTAAATTTAACTATACTTAATAATCTTAATGCACATATTAATTATTTATTTCTTATTATAAATGCACCATCATATGAACTTATAAAACATTTATATTCAATTATAATAGATAAACGAATTATATTTATTCTTCATTGTCATTTAACATTTGATAATGAACCATTATTATTATGTTCAGGTAATCGAACAAAATTTGAAATGATTCGATCAACATTTTTAAAATATTTATGTTCAAAAATTAAATATATTGAATCAAATGATAATGAACAAGAACAATTATATTCAGCTTATTGTATTTCATCAATAATTCAATCAACAAATATTCTTAATTATTTTATTAATGAACAAATTCAAGAAACATTAAATGAAAATTTTGAATCCGATTTTTTAAGAAATAATGAACATGTTATTAATGAATTATTTCCTCAATTAACAATAAATAAAATTTCAAATAATAGTAATAATAGTATACTTGATTTAATTCATAAATCAAATGAAGATATAGTAACAAATAAATCAAAACAATCAATAGTAATGAATGATTTATTTCAAAGTCGTGCTATTAAAACACATATACCTCCACCAATATGTGAATATTATATACAAAATATTCTACATGATAAATAATTCTTAATATTTCTTTTCTTTTTCTTTGTAAATAGTAATTCATTCTTAAATATAGTAAATAAATGATTGTGTTGTGTGTATGTGTGTCAGATTTTTTTTTTAAAATGTACCATCATTGTCTCTTTTGATTGATCTGTTTCTATATAGTAAATAAATTGCGTTTTTGCTTCTTTTCTGTTTCGTTTCATTAATAGTAATTGTAATTCCGTTTGTTTTTGAAGAAATTTACAAATAAATTACTTAAGAAAAATTATGTAAAGATTTAAAATATGCTCGATTATATTTGCTCTGAATCAAAAGTAAATGATTACCGATCTCATACAAATGATTAATTAAATATATTTAAATTCTCGTTTGATCATCATTGTTTTTTGAGAAAAAAGAATAAGTAAACGATATGAACATGTCTTGATCTTTTGCTTTAAATGTCTATTGACATTGTACGATAGTTGTCTTAGTCGGACACACATCTGCTTGTTTTTATTTTATCGAAGTAAAAATTATTTGTTTAATTCAAGACAATAAAAAAGTACTATTTGCTTTTCTCTATTTTCTTCAAAGAAATAAGAAAAAAAAGTATAGGCATACATTTTTATTTAAAACTTGGATATAAGATAGCTACTTCAAAAAAGATACTAAACAAATGAATTCTAATTCATTATCAACATTTTCTAATGGTAAATTTTTTATTTCTCTTTTGTTAAATGATTCGAACCAAAAAAAATTAAAAATTCTATTCTAAAGGTTTCAATGTTGGTGAAATTGTTTGGGCAAAACGTAATTATGATGGTATCTATTGGCCAGGACGAATATTATCTATATCGCATAATATGATTGATACAATATTTACTCATAATTATTTACAAGATCAACCATGGTCTTATCTTACTGAATTTTTTGAATATAATCAAAAAAATTGGACTATTGATGTTCTACCATATCGACAATATCGAGATTATATGTCAAAAAATTTATTTGGTCATTATGATTCTTATCCACAGATAAAATATCAACTTTTAAATGCTATTAATCAAGCTGATTATGCTCATATTAATGAAAATACTCATCCTATTAAATCGAATAATTATTCATCGTCTTATTTGTTTAAAACCGATTCCAATGACAATTATATTTCCACATCAAATTCTATTGTTACACGTAAATATATTGTTTTGTCTACTATGTCTTTTTTAATTTTATAATTATTTAGCTTGTGAAAATTCAATATCACATACAATGAACGACTATTCATTAGATTCTTATTCTCAAACATCAAATATTTATTGCCAACGTCCATCGAATTGTTCTTGTAATACTCAGTCGTATTTAAATAATTATTATTCATATGGTACGCAACCTCATTTTTCATCGACAGATCAACTATCAATTGAAACTAATTTAAATCCAGTTTTACAATTAAATAATAATTATCATCAATTTCAGAACGATACTATGAATACTGAAATCGAAACTTTTCAAAAACAAAATTCTGTTATAATAATTACATCAAAAACTTATTCAAATTCATCATTTATTTCTTATCTTTTTAATTCTCTTTCAAATATTTTTCATTCTTCAATAATCTATATTGATGATTTAATAAATTATCAACATCCAAATACATATAATATTTATTATCTTATTTGTTTTGATTATTTTGATTTAATTATTAAACAAAAATTAAATTTAACTATACTTAACAATCTTAATGTATATATTAATTATTTATTTCTTATTATAAATGCACCATCATATGAACTTATAAAACATTTATATTCAATTATAATAGATAAACAAACGATATTTATTCTTCATTATCATTTAACATTTGATAATGAACCATTATTATTATGTTCAGGTAATCGAACAAAATTTGAAATGATTCGATCAACATTTTTAAAATATTTATGTTCAAAAATTAAATATATTGAATCAAATGATAATGAACAAGAACAATTCGATTTATCAAATACAATTTCATGCATATCTCAATCAAATAATATTAAAAATATATCAATAATAGATATTTTGAATCAAAGATTGGAATCAAATGCATTTATAAATTATCAAAATCTTACTAATGAATCTTTGTCCGTATCATCAGTAATGAAACGCACAAAAAAATTAAATGAACAAAAAATTTTTAAGAATTTTAGAAAAAAAATATTTAAAAGCAAATTTAAGCAACATTTATCAAAAAATGAAATGATATCTACATCATCATCTGAATATTGTGTACAAAATATTCTTGAGAATACTAACTTTTCAAAAACTTAGTCTTATTCTTCACAATGTAATCAATGTTGTCTATTATATTGGGTTTTTTTTGTTGTTGTTAATTTAATCATTTATCAGCTTTTGATTAAGATTTTTTTCGGATAATACTAAAAATAGTATCGAAGAATTATTTGATCAGAAGAATGAATATGTATCATTTGGTTTTGAATTTGATTAGCTAACTAAACAAGAATTATAGCAATGTACCCGACATTTTGTTACTTGCCTGTGCTACTAAAGAGAAATTCAGCAAAGCTTCATAACTTGGAATAGCAATTAGAAGGGATATTAATAGGTTTTTTATGTTGTTTCGCGTTCTGAATTACATAAAAAGAAGTAAGAGAAATGATAAATATTTTCATAAAATGTCTGTATCGAACAATTAAAATGAAAATTCAATATATAAAAATTTCATAACAATAGATCACAGAAAGATGTCATCAAAAAAAATCGATTACTTTACACAAATCCTAATATATTTTACAGTTCTGACAAATAGAAAAACAAAAAAATATATTTTCAAGCAAACAAGTTCATTCCATTAACTGAACAATAGAAAATAATTCTAAAACATTGAAAACAACTATGTAAACTCAAATTATTGGGCATAAAAAAAAACTGTTTTCTTTTTCTCTACAATTCAATAATCTTTTTCTATTTCATTAACCGATTTTGATTCGATTTCCAATTATGAAATTAGCAGCAAGGTTATGTTTGTGATTGTATCGATTAGATCAACATTATATAAATAAAGATAGATAACCATTTATTAATGAAGGTTTTCTGTTAAATACAAGATATGCAGCGAAGTCTATTATATCTAACAATAAATGGCTAGTTTTTAGATAAATAAATGACATCGGCATGACGTATTTTATAGTATCAAAAGAAATCAACAATCCCAAAGCTCTCATAATTGATGAAGAGATGTAATCATATTTAAGAAACTCGATAATATGTAAGAAGATTTCGATAATTGCTCTCGATCTTCGAATGTAATGACTACTAAGTATTATTTATTTGTGTTTTCTTCTTTTCTCGTTTTTTGTCGAGATAATTTTGATAATGAATGCTGTCGAAAGTGAAATATTAAAATCGATTTAATAAAATTAGATTAAAAAGTTATATTAGTGAATAATCGAATAATTAAACCTTTGCAAAAGATTCTTAATAATAAGATTTTGATATATTCGTTATTTTAAATTAATTTAGATATTAGAAAAAATTCTAATAGATTAACTATTTCAAAATCTCATGTAAAAAAATATTATTATTTGATTGAAATTATATTGAACAATGGAATTTTTTATGATAATTTCTATTAATGAGAAATAAATCTTCCATTTTTATTTTGTTCAATTTCGGCAGGTGAATAATCCCTATTCAATAAATGGCGTCATCTACTGAGTGCCAAATAATGAATGGATAATATGGAGACGAGAGAAAAAATGGTAGTCAGTAATGTTCTATTCTTCTCATTTACTGTACTAAACACGTTTATGCGTTATTGCCGATTATATTTTCCTATAGTGAACAGTATATAGAATGATAAAAAACAAAGAAGGCCGTAAGCTAGATCGATTTAATTGTTTATAATAGAGAAGAAGAATAACAAAATAGAACAACGAGTTTTTCCTCATTAGAAATTAATCATATTTTTTCAGGATTCATATTGAAAAATATAATTTTTTTCTTCGAGTCCTATCTTTTTTTAACTATTTCCATTGTGCATTAGAGACATAAAGAATAAAAAAAAAAAAAAAAAAACAGAAGAGAAAAGACGACAAGAGGGAGTATATTTAATTTCATGCTTATTCTCGTTTGTCGATCCGTATCCTCATCATCTATTTCTCATGAGATTTTCGTGTTAGACTTTTTTTTTTGCATTTCATCTAACATAAAAACTAAATAAAGAAAAAGAGATATATATAGAGAGAGAGAGGAGGAGAGAAAGAGAAGGGGAAAAGAAGAAGAAAATATTAGTAACTAGTTTCGCTTCATCATTTGTTCTTCTAAATCATGTAAATATATGCTATAGACAGAAAGAATGAGAGAGACAAGATTGTAACGTCTGCCGTCTGTCTTTGTTATTTCTTCGTCTTTTTTTTTTGTTTCTTTCTATATGTATATATTTTTTGTACAATTTTTTAATTGTTTTTTAAAAACTAAATGATATTCATCATTTACAAAATTAATTTTTGTTTTAAATGATTTGATACATAGGAAAAGAATGCATTCATGATGAACTTTTTTCATTATCCTCAAGTTCATTTTCTTTTTCCTTCTCAACCATCAGATAATGAGTTTCCATTCGCTTTCTGTTTATGAGAGAGTTATATTTGTTGCTTTTTTTTTCTTCTTTTCTTCTCCACTTCTTGCATGTCTGAAAGAGCAGATCAAGCAGTGTCCGTGTGGTTGGTAGCGCCATCAACAACAGCAGCAGCAGCAGCGGCAAAGGGTGAAATAAAGAAAGACGACGGCGAAGAAAAATGAGTCGGGCAAGCAAAGGCAGCAATGCTGCTTTTGCATAAGTCGAGTGTCGCTGAATCATTCTTGATTGCTGTAGAAGAAAAAAAAAGAAACGGAGAGAGAGAGAAACGACAGACCAAGTACAGAAAAAAAAAAGACAGAATTAGAAAACGCTGACGTGATTGCTCGAATACTGTCGACAATTTTAAAGAAGAAGGAGTCGTTAATAAATTTTTCTATTTCTTTTTGTATAGTTTGACACATTGGTAAGATCTATTCATTCTTCTTTTTTTTTTTTTCTTTGATATTATAGGTGATTTAATGATTAATTGTCATAGAGTATTTATCGAAAATCTTCGGCAAACATTCTTAATCCCTTTTCTAATACATATATAAAGAACGGAAATGGTCTGTACAATTGAACGTTTGTCGCCACTTTTTTTCTTTCCCTCTCTCTCTCCTCCTCCTCTCTCGCGCACGTTCTCTCTCTCTTTTCAACAATTAGATTGAGATGAGGCAAAGAAGACTCGAATAGGCAATTGATCGGCTCATTGACAACAGATGTTGAAATGAATGAGAATGAATAAGAGAAGGCCGAGAGCATGTTGTCTCAATAGATGTGTATACATTGATGACATTAGTCATATTGTCGAATAAGCTTATATTGTTGGATTTCATGTCGTGGTATTATTTCATGAAATCTAAGCGAATTCGATGATAATTTAACACATTTAGGTTAATTGATTCTCTATATTGTACACATACAATAGCAACATCTGATTATACTCGATAAATAACAAAAAACAGTACGTCTCTTATTTCTCGTACAATTATGTTTATAGCCTATGGGTTAGATCTAATGGGTAGAAACGTCTTTTCTTATTTGATAAATAAAGACAGTTGCTAAGTTCATAATAAAAAATATAGATAATTGAGTCGAAAAAAACAGGTGTTTATTATCAAACTATTAGATTATCTAAACCAGTCGTTGACAAGTTTAACAGGTGAACAAAGGTGTGAAAAAAAAAAGAAAGAAAGAAAGTGTAAAGGTGTTACAAAACACAGTAGAACATGTACATTATTCATCTTTCATTCAATCATTCTTCTTTCCTACTATTCGTATTGGTAATTGTCGTATTTGAAATATACACATCTGGTTCCAGTCACAAAAATTTCTATGTATTTGATTGTACAAGCTGATGCATACATAGTTGTGCACAGTTGCTGAAGTGTTCGTCTCATTTCTCTTTTTCTTTTTTTTTTTTGTATGTATTTTGTGATTTATAGCCAACACCACCATTACCATTACGGATTCCGCCCCGTCCACTATTTATCATTTGTGTTCGTTTGGTTATTTGATCCTATTCATAGAGATTGTTGTATATGAAAAAAAAAGCCTGAGGTGTCCTTCTGTCTGTCTGTCTTTGTATGTATGTCTGTCAAACTTTCTATTTTATACAATATTGATAGAAGAAAAAAAACAGTCTAATAAAGGTCACTATTGTCATCTATTCAATATTTATCTTTTTAGTTTTTTCGATTTTTATAGATTAATAAATATTCAAGATTCAAACAAGCATTCATGTCGGATCAAAGCCCAATTAACGATCCACTTATTTCATTTGATCAACAACAACAACAACAATCATCTCCAACAGTAACAACGCCAACAAAACAAAAAACAAATGATCTTTATGATAATCGATCATCAAAAGATATAGATCCATTTGGTAATCATAATGGTAATAATACTCATGAACAAGAATATCATACAAATAATGGTACTAAAAAGGATGAACATCATAATAGAACTAATGGTAATAAACATGATGAACGTCATGCATTTTCATTAAATAATGATCTTTTTCCGGTGTTTACAAATGAAAATGAAAAAGGTAAAATTGATATTAAAAATTCAAAGAAAAAAGAAAAGAACGAATTAACTAAATATTTATTTATATTTTTAAGTTTCTTCGAATGATTTTCAACATCAACATCATCATGAATTTTCGACACGTAAAAATGAAGAATCTGAAGATTCACCATTCAATTTTAATAATTCAAATCGTAATGGTGTTGCAACAGATAAAAGTACACTTTTATTTGAACTTGATCCTAATGCACCTGATTCGGATCGTATACATGCAGATAAAATGGCTTTAACACCATCATCAACTAACGATATATCATCACCACAACACAATAAAAATGATATATCTGTTGATGTTATTGACAGTCCAACTAAAGTAGATATAGTTAGACAACAACAACAACAATTGAATTTGAGAAATTATACTAATCCATCAGATGATCTTATTTTAACATCACCAATCAAAGAAAATATTCATTCTCCTGTTAAAAATGATATACATGAAGAAATTCATTCACCAGTCAACAAACGACCAGAAGATTTACAATTATCAGTTGAACAACAATATGATGAAAATAAATCATCACCTATCAACCAACAACATGAAGATACTCAATCACCAGTTAAAGATAAACATCATGCAGATATTCATTCTCCTACCAAAGAAGAACAATATGAAGTAGTTCATTCACCAATCAAAGACCAACAAGAAGAAAATCTTCAATCATCTCTTAATAAACAACATAAAGAAATTCATTCACCAGTTGTGCAACAACAACAACAACATTATGAAGATTTACAATTACCAGTTACAGACGAACAATATGAAATTATTCCATCACCTGTCGATAACCAACATGAAGATATTCAATCACTATTAAAAGATGAACATCAAGAAGATAGTCATCATTCATCTGTTCAAGAAGGGCAACATGAAAAAATTCATTCACCAGTTGAACAACATCAAGATGGAATTCTTCAATCACCTGTTAAGGAACAACATACTGAAGAAATTCATTCACCAGTTATAGAACAACGTCATGAAGATTTACAACTGCCAGTTACAGAACAACAACAATATGAAATGATTTCATCACCTGTCAATGAACAACATGAAAATATTCAATCACCTGTTAAAGATGAACATCATGAAGATATTCATTCACCTGTCGAAGAACAACAACATGAAGGAGTTCATTTACCAGTCAAAGAACATCAAGAAGAAATTCTTTCATCACCTATTAAGGAACAACATGTTGAAGATTTACAGACACCAGTTCAACAACAACAAGATGAAAAGATTCCATCATTTGTCAATGAACAAAATGAAAATATTCAATCATCAGTTAAAGATGAACATCATGAAGATATTGATTCACCTGTCAAAGAACAACGACATGAAGAAGTTCATTCACCAGTCAAAGAACATAAAGAAGAAATTCTTTCATCACCTGTTAACGAACAACATGTTGAAGATATTCAATCATCAGTTCAACAACAAGAAGATGAAAGTATTTCATCACCACTTAAGGAACAACAAGAGATTATTCATTCACCAGTCAAAGAAGAACAACATGAACAATTGACTTCACCTCTTAAAGAAGAAACTGAAGTACTTTCTTCACCAGTCAAAGAAGAAGTAGGACAACAAGAACATGATAATATTTCAACAGGTAATGAAGAAGAAAAGCCATTGAATGATCAAGAGAATGTGAATGTATCAACTCAATTGAATGAACATGAACAACCACTGAATGCTGTTGATGAAAAACGTTTATTGAATGAAGCATGTGAAGATATGGATAATGCTGCTAAAGAATTAGCGGCTAAAATTGATCTTGTTACTTCACCATCACCACCAGCTACATCAGATCGACAACCACCACCATTTTTTTCAGATACAGAAACAGAAACAACACCAGAACAATCTCTAACTTCAACTCAATCAAATGATGATGCAAAAATATCATCAACAACTGAAGAACATGAACATGTTGAACAAGCAATACCATCTGCTACTTCACCAAAATTAGATTCAACTTTACCAATAATATCTTCACCAACAGCTCCAGTAGCAGCATCACCTAGTAAACCTACAGCTTCAACAACTAAAAAACCTGCAAGTGCTGTTCAAAATACACGATCAAGTCTTGCTACAAGGCCTAAACCATCATCTGCAGGAGCTGCTACAACAAAAAGTACAGAACATAAACCGTCAGCAGCAACAGCTGTATCATCAAAAACTACGGAACATAAGCCAACTGCCGCTGCAACATCAAAACCGGCCGAACATAAAACAACAGGTACAACTACAAAATCTACTGAACTAAAACCACCAACAACAGTTCGTAAACCTCCTCAATCAGCACCAGCAAGTAGTGCAGCGGCATCTCACAAACCAAAGGTAACACCTACTTCACCTTCACATGAATTATCAACAGGTCCAAAACCCACCGTATGTATCGAAATTGATCAAATATATTACAATATTTTCATATATTTAATTTAGCGTGATGTCCCAACCAAACCTCCAGCATCTGCAGCAGCAACTAAACCTAAACCAACAACTAGTTCTACAACAACAGCCGCATCACGATCAACAATAAAACCAACGGCAACAAAATCTACTCGTCCATCAACAATTCATAAAGCTTCAGATGGTACTACATCTGATCAACAAACAACAATACTTTCAACAGCTCCAGAAGGTAGTTCATCATCAACATCTACTGCTGCAACAACAGCTCCAGAAGGTAGTTCATCATCAACATCTACTGCTGCAGCAGCAGCTCCTGTTAGTACAACAAGCAAAACAACTGCTCGGCCACCACAAACTTCAACTAGACCACCAACAAAAGCTACTTCCAGTGGTACCACTCATGTTCCTTCACATTCAACAGCTTCATCTGTTGCATCACGTGCATCTACTTCAGCCAGTAAAACAACCGTTGCAAAAGAACGTCCGACATCTCATACTCTTAATACAGGTAAAACTCATGTTGTTTTCTTTTTTTATTAGAAATCAAAGAACAATCTTTTTTTTTGGTTTAGCTACACGACCAGCTACAGGAAGTGGCTCATCAACTACAGTTGCTCAACAACGTTCAACAAGTGGTAATCGCCCAGCAACATCCGATGCAACATCAGGCTCAACACGTGAAAGTGCATCAGGAACAACGGTGAGATAATAAAAATATTGATCAATTTCTTTGTTTTTTTTTTCAATTTCCTTTACACTTTCTCTTATTATTGATCGTTAGCCGAAATCAAAAATCGGCTTATCTACGATTACTAATCATGATCAAATTAAAATGTTTTTATATTATCTTGCTTTTTCTTTTCTTCCCACTTGTGTACGGCTCATTATAATTCTCTTTTTTTTTTCTATTTTATTTGAATATTCTGCTAATTTCATGACTCCGTAGGTGGTCTAAATATGTTGCTGATGGCAACATTTGATAATGTGTTTTGTTGCTTTTTTATTCTTTCGTTTTTTTATAAGCATATTCAATTGAAAACACATTTTTGTTTTGACATTATCACATAATAAGAATAATGTCTACTGATGATTATCGTCATATACATCATATTATTTCAACTAAACCATTACCATTATTAAATTCCAATGAAACAAATCATGCACTTCATTATACACAAACGATAGACGATGAAAATGAGGTATTGATAACAACAACAACAAAAAAAAAAAAAAGAAACAAATTTTCTTTATAAATTCTTTTTAAATTTAATTTTTAAGATATCATATAATACAAAATTACTTCATCGTCGAGTTCATTTAAATAATTTACCTGATTATCTTTTAAGTGGTGCATCAAAACAACTTCTACTTCATCGAACTCGATCACCATCAACATCATCTGTTTCACAATATGATGATAATTCAGAATTTTTTACTACTAAACAAGATGAAATTTCAAATTCATATTCACCATTATCATATAAAAGACATTATGATAATGAGGAGGATTTAACAAATATAAATAAACGACATGTTATTAAAGAACGTATTATTCCAGTTGATCATCAACGTGCAACAATTATTCGTGATGAAAAACCAACGGTAGGGGAAAAAAAAATAAGACGTTTTACTTGATTTCTTTTTTTGACTTCAGCCTTCATCAGAACCATCACTTAAACGTTTAGCTCAAGAGACAGGTGGAGTTGTAAGTTAATTAGTTCGATTTAATGAGTTTTAATCTATATGATTATAGTTTTATATGGAAAATCTTGATGGTACAGTACGTTTGGCAACACAGGAAGAAATTGATTTCTATGATAAAGCACAACAGGTGTGAATAATTATTCAAGAAAATCTTGAAAAAAATCTAAGATAATCTTGTCTCAGAATTTGATTTTTGATTCATAAATTAAACTTCTTCTGATTTGTTTTTTTTTTGTATTTGATAGATTTGGACAGCACCAGTTCCACCAGTACAACTAACTGCTCCAACTGTAATTCCAGTTGCTCCTGCGCCACCACCATTACCTGTTGTTCTCTATCAACAACAACAACAACCACAGCAACTTGTCCCAGTACCTGCAATATTTGCACAGCCACGACCAATTATTCATGCTCGTCCTATTATTCCTCCACAACCACAACAAATTATTCGTGCTCATGCTATTATTCCTCCACAACCACAACAAATCATTCATACTCATTCTGTGGTTCCTCAACAATCACCACGTGTAATCGTTGAAGAGCATCATCATCATCATCATCATCATCCAACTCCTCAGCCACCTGAACCTGTACCAGTGTCACTAGCACTACCACCACCTCCTCCTGCACATTTAACAACAACTGAAATCACAGAAACAGTTCGTACTGTTCGACGGCGACGACCACGTGCAGCAGCAACTGAAACAATTATTGAACAAAAAGAGCCAATTCGAGCAACGGTAAATGAAATCTTGTTGTCTTTTTTCTTTTATTTTAAATATCTTCTTCAACTTTGTCTAGACAATAACAACAGAAGAAGTAAGTGTTGACAAACGACGACCTCAAATAGAATTTGAAGAAGTTCAAATTCAAAGTAATGCAATATCGAAACCAATGCGTGAAATTATTGTTGAACATCATGATACTGTTGTTGTACCACAAGAAACAGAAATTCCATCGACTATAGAAGTATATTAATAAGAAAGAAATTCTACATTTTCATCTATGTATTTTGCCATTTTTCTTTTTTAATAAGATTGTCGATACAAAACCCACATATAAAATCGATAATGAAATAACTGAAATCCCAATAGAATCTAAACACGTAATAAAAGGAAAAAAAATTGTTGGTTCAAAAATTGATACATGGAATCGTGGATATAAACCTAGTGGTGGAAATATTAAAATATATAATAAAGGTTTAAAGTTTGAAGATAAAGAAGAACCTATTATTGATACATATGATACAACTGTTACAAAACATCAAGGTGTTATTCAAATTCGTACAGATACTGAGACACCTGAAGAAACAACTGTTGAAGTTATTACTAGACCATTTGAAATTGAACAAACTAGTCAAACTGTTACTGTTACTCGAGAAATGAAAAAATTACCAACTCCACCACCGCCGACACCACCATCACCGTCGCCGCCACCACCTGAACTAATTACAGTAAAAATTTTAATACGTTTAAATTATTGTTTTATATCTTTTTTTTAGGTTATTAGAAAACCTATACCGCAAGTTCAAGTCATAGAGGAAATTATTGAACCACCTGCACCGCAATTTCAAATCATTGATGAAATTATTGAACCACCTGTACCACAAATTCAAATCATTAAAAGGATTATTGAACCACCTACACCGCGTGTTCAAATCATTGAGAGATTTATTGAACCACCACCGCCGCAAGTTCAAATCATTGAGAGAATTGTTGAACCACCCGCACCACCTGTTCAAATCATTGATGAAATTGTTGAACCACCATCACCTAGAGTCAGTCGAAAAAAAACCAACCAATCTGATTATAATCAAAAAGAAAATCTTTATAATATTTAGGTTATCAAATTTCCTACTCTATTTAAACGACGAATTAATCCTCCTCCAGTAATTATTCAAAAACCTATAGTTTATGAAATAATTACAACAGAAATTGAAGTATGAAAATAAATCTAAATAATTCTTGTTATTTTTTATTTTTTGTTCATATATTTAATCATTTAGAAACCTCCATCACCTCCGCCACCACCTCCTCCACAAATTATCGTAGAACAAGTTGAAGAAATCATTGAAGTAAATATTCAATCAAAAACTAACATAAATAAATATTATTCTATCCAATAGTTCTAATTAACCTATGATCTGTGTCTTCTTCCTCAAAGTAGAATCGGAGAGAGAGAGACAAAAATGATCACGTTATGAAAACATACGAAAATAGATATCGGTTTAAGATTGAATATTAGTGTGCAGGTTTTCGCTTCCACTCTTGTATGTTTCATTAATGATTTTTTCTATATCTTTTTTTTTTATATACTAAATCTTGTCTTGATCCTACTATGCGGCTATTTTGCCTTAATTAGCCAAAAACAAAATGTATTCAATTTGGATATAGCCCTATAATTATACATTAATTTCTATGAGAATACTAAATTTGATATACATCAATTAAGTTCTTTTTCTTTCAAATCCCATGACAAATTATCTTTTATTTCCTCTTATTAATTATTCATCTATTGTTTAATAGTTATCATTTTCAATCTTGATAATCGATTTAAGAAATGTCTAGAATAATTGTATGAATTGAATTAGGATTAAAATATACTTATTTTCTAGGTGCCTACACCTCCACCAGTACCAGTTCAATATTATTTAGCTCAAGAACAATATTTAACTGAAACTGAATTTGATCAAACATTAACAAAATCACCAGAGATTTATCCTACAGAAACAGTAAAGAAAAAAAGAAACAAACGAAATAACTATTTCTTATTAATATTAAATAATATATTAAATTTTTCTTATATAAGGTTGGCTCAAGTACATATGACCTTGATTATGAAAAACAATATGTAAATTTCGTGCCACAACAAATTAATGAATATAATCAAATAGAACAAATATCTGGTTTTGATCAAGAAAGTTTACCTTATCAACAAGTAAATTTTCTTTTTTTTTTTTGCTAGTTTAGTATTTTATTTAAAATAATATTTTTTTTTCTCTCTTTTAATTACATAGCTTCGTTCAAATACATATGATTTCGATTATGAAAAACAATATGCAGAATATATTTCAAAAGAATTTGATGAATTTCATCCATTTGAACAAACATTAAATTATGAATCAACAAAATTATCTCTTAATCAAGTAAATCATCTCTTCTATTTCTTTCATTTAACTTATGATGCAAAAGTCTTAGCACAAAATATTCATTCAGAATTTTCCTTTAGAATAAGATTGGACAACTATCATCAAAAAATGAAAAATAATGCTTGTACAGGATACTATAAAAGCGACAAAAATTTTTAATGGTTTAGTTTTGTAGAACAAAGTTCGCTATTTACTTTTCTATTTTATCTGGAACCACAGATGTATTTTTAAAAGCAGTTTCTACAACAGCACTTGTCAATTTACATACAAACTAGTTCTTTAGAGGAAAGAGATTTCACTTATTGTAATATCTCATGTTGTATAGAACTCAATGTCCTACAATATAATGTTGGAATGAAGCTGTTCTAAGATACATACTAAGGACTGCATCAAAATCGTTATTTTATTGTGCACAGGATTCGAATATATAATCGAAAATAGCAAAAAATTCTGATTCTAACTAATTGCTTCTAGTTGTAATCAGTTGTTCGAAAAATGAGTGAATATTTTGTGCCATGACTTTTGTACTATAGATTAGCAATACAAACAAGTTCTGTTTTTTTTTTGTTGTAGTTGAATCCAACGGCTCATGATGTTGATTTTGAAAAACAATATGCTGAATATTTGCCAACACAATTTGATGAATATCATCAACCAGAACGAACATTAGATCGTTATGTAACGAAATATTCTCTTAAACAAGTGTGTATAATTCAAAAGAATATTAATTTATAAACTTTTATCTTTTATATTTTAGCTTCAACCTGATATTTATAAACTTGATTTTGAAAAACAACAAGTACTCAATGAAGCAAATCAATTTGATGAATATCATCAATCAGAACGAACATTAGATCGTCATCCAACAAAATATTCACTTAAACAAGTATGTATAATTCAAAAAAAAACATTGATCTATAAATTTTTATCTCTTATATTTTAGCTTCAACCTGATATTTATAAACTTGATTTCGAAAAACAACAAGTACTCTATGAAGCAAATCAATTTGATGAATATCATCAACCTGAACAAATATTAGATCGTCATCCAACACAATATTCACTTAAACAAGTAAAGAAAATATTTATTATTAGACATCTGCAGGATCACAGTTTTCTGGATCCCAATCATGACGTCGGTATATTTAGTCTAGAGAAAACTATTCGAGAATTGATTCGCAATACATCTAAAAAAATTAATAAATCCTTCCGTAGTTATTTTTTTTGATTTATTTAGTCGACAATTAGCACTTTAAAAATTTTTTTTTGGTAGACATGGTCTCAGAAGATCTTCAAATTTATGTTCTGTACATTTCGATTTATTACATATTTTTGTTTTCATTATTTTAGCTTCAATCTGATGTTTACGATCTTGATTTTGATAAACAATATGCAGAATATATATCAAATCAATTTAATGAATTCAATGAAATTGAACAAGTATTAGATCGTGATCCAACTAAATATTCTCTTAAACAAGTATTTTAGATTTTAAATTAAAATTAATTCTATTTATTTATTTATTTATTTATTTTTAGCTTCATGCAGATATCTATGATGATGATTTTGAAGAACAATATGTTACATATGAAACAAATCAATTTAATGAATATAATCAACCTGAACAAATATTAGATTATTCATCAACTAGATTATCTTTTACAAAAGTAAAAATTAAGAATGTTATTTTTTCTTTTTGCAAAAAAAACAAAATTAATTCATTTTATTTTGTAGCTTCGTTCAAATACATATAATCTTGATTTTACTCCTCAATATGCAACGTATTCATCAAAAGAATTTCAAGAAGATCAACCTATTGAACAAACATTATCTTATAATCCAACACAATTATCATTAGATAATGTATAAATTTTTCTTTTTAATTTAATTTTTTTCTAAAATTTTCTTATTTTAGGCATCAGAAAAATCTATTGAATATTTACTTTTTAATCGAGCACTTCATGCTGTTTGTGAATATATTGATGATACAATTGAATATTCAACAGTAAATTCATTTGATCAACGTATTCGTCCAAAAAGTGTTCAATTACCAATAGAAGAAGTTAAAATAAAACATTTTCGTGCTATATCACATAAACCACCATCAATTTTATGGCGTCATTTAACAATAGATATTCCTATTAAACGTCGAAAAATCTTGAGAAAAAAAATTGCATGGGAAAAAATTCATCATGCTGTTTCACGTATTGATTGTTGGAATAGAAATTATCGTCGACAACCAATAAAACGACAATATTTAAAAATTCCAAAAACTTTTTATCAACCAAAACCTTATGATACATGGAATGAGGAATTATCATCAACTATAACACATCGAACTATTCCAAGTCGTATACCACGTGTTGAAGCTAAACCAAAAATTGATACATGGCTAAGAAAACCATATATTCATCCTATATCAAAAGCGAAAATCATTCATAAACCAATAGAAATTCATGGTAAAACACGTGTTGATACTTGGTTAAAATTATCACCTCGATCAAGAAGTACAAGTGCTCGAGTAAGAAATTATTTTAAAGAAAAAAAAAGAAAATTTAATTGAAAATTTTTGTCTATTTTCTTTTTTTTTAAAAAAAACAAAAAGATTATTCATCGACCAATACAAGTTACTGGTAAAAGTAAAGTTGATAGTTGGTTAAAACCACCTATACGTAAAGCTCATAGTGCTTTTGAAGTAAAATTAAATTTTTCATTTTAATATAAATATAACAAAATTGATTATTTATTTTAGATTGTTCATAAACCATTACATGTTATTGGACGTAGTCGAATTGATACATGGAGAAAACATTCAATACGTCCAACATCTCATTTTCAACATGTATGAAAAGAATATTAAAAAAAAACAATTTTTTTTGGTTTGATTAATTCTTCTCTTTAAAGATTGTTCATAGACCAATACAAGTTCAAGGAAAAAGTCGTGTTGATACATGGCTTCGACAAGATCCTACTCATCAAACTCAAATTAAACGAATAGTAAAAAATCGAAAAAGAAAAAAAAGAATTTATCCATATTTATTTATTTCTCATTAGGTTCATAAACCTCTTGTTATTCATGCACGAAGTCGTATTGATACATGGAGAAAACAACAATATGAAGAAAGATCACAATTACAAAAAGTATGATTTTTTTTTTGACTTACGAGGAATGTTCCTGAAGTGTGCACTTCCGTTTTGACTCATTTATACGTCCTACGATAGAGTATATGCCTTCATGGCTGAATGACTACGTTGTTCGACAGGTATTCAATAGGTACTGTGCTCAAACCTCGGTACCATTAGCCATGAAATGACCCTGGACCAGTCACAAACCCCTGCTTGTCTTGGATCATTCGTCCGATAGCATGCTGACTAAGTTGTGACTTTCGTGGGTCATCATTGTGTACGGAGAGTTCAAGCGATTGAGCGCAAGAACTCTGCATCTATTGAGATAAGAAAAAGCTTAAAAGGATTCGAACTTATAGCGTACTGACGATGAGTAATGGCCATTTTAGTGAGAAACAAGGATTCCGAAAAAATCGAAATAAAGAATTTTGATTTGAATCTATGCCTATAGATGGATTTGATAGTTTCTGAAAGTTTTCACGAAAACGAACATGTCTTTCTTGAGGTATTCAAGTTCCAAGAACGCAGCCATTTACCGTAAGAGGATATAATAACTCACTTAACTTCGAAATTAATTTTAAAATCTTCACTTTGGTTTTTTCCGAAATGTCTGTCTCTCACTAAAATAGCCATTACTCATCGCCAGTACGCTATAAATTCGATTCCTTTTAGACTTTTTCTTATCTCAATAGACTCTATCGTATGAGGTATGAATGTATCAGAACAAAAGACCTCTCGTTAATTTTTGAATAAACCTTCACATATATATATATATGTAGATTTTTCATCAACCAATACAGATTGAAGGTAAAAGTCGAATTGATACATGGCAAAAATATCCAACAAATATTCGGTCTGATATTTCTAAAGTATTACATGAATATTTTTTGTTGTTATTGAAAATAAACAAATTTATTTATGTAGATTTTTCATGAACCTGTACAAATTATTGGAAAAAGTAAAGTTGATAATTGGCTTCGAAATTCATATCATCCAAGAAGACAACAACATATAACTGAAGTAATAATAAATTTTTATAAAGAATGAAAAAAGAAAATTTTCATTGATTAAATTTTATTTAGATTCATAAACCATTAAATATAATTGCTCGAAGTCGAATTGATACTTGGCAAAAACAACCATTAAAAACAAAATCTAATGTTGAAAAAGTTTGTTTATGAAAATAAAACGAAAAACTTTTGTTTTACTTTGTAATTTAAGATTCTTCATCATCCAATTCAAATTCAAGGAAAAAGTCGAATTGATACATGGCAAACAACAACATTAAGACGACGAGCTCATAGTGCTACTGAAGTATAAACAATCTTTTTTTGTAATAAATCAATTAAATAATAAATTCTTGGTCTTGTTTTTTTAGATTCATAAACCCGTTCATATTATCGGTCAAAGTCGAATTGATACTTGGCAAACATCAGAAAGGAAACTTCAAACAGCTAAAAGTCGTCTAATTCATCGTCCTATTCAAGTGGAAGGTAAAAGTCGAATAGATACATGGCAAACACAATTTTCACGTCAACGATCTCATAGTGCTATTGAAGTATAAACCTTCATTCTCTTGTATAAATATAATTGATTTCTATTGTTTATAGATTCATAAACCTGCTCATATTATTGGACAGAGTCGTGTAGATACTTGGCGTACATCGGAAAAAA